GATTTAGCATGAATCTTTGGCTTTCAGTGTTATATTAGCAAAACCCCCCAAAGTCCCCTAGAAATCCTGAAGGTAGCTGTGTGCCCAGCTTAGCACTGAGAGCCATCTGCTCGTTCATGACTTTAGCACCAAGATTATTGCCTCACCTATCTCACATTTGTTTCTATTAGATATTTTTGTTGCTGTCATTGTTGGCCTAGCATGGCTCAATGCAGCCGATTTTCTTTCATCTCTATAGTCTTCTAAATTGCTTTAGTTATAATGGGCAATAATTGTTGCCTTTCTCAGTTTTTCTTTCCTTTTTTTGTTGTTGTTGGTAAGTGGGACAGTTTATTGATTGGAAGAAAAAGAGATGACCTGGCACTGCTGACATTCACAAGTGGCTATTGCACTGTTATTAGCAGACCTCACTTCTTTATACATGGCTGAGATAGTGAAATTCAATCTTAAAATGAAATAAACTATGGAAACATAAAACAACATGGAAGAGACTCACGATGTAACATCAAGCCAGATAGCCAAATACAAAAGAATAACATGGTATGTTGTACAATCTGTGAAGTTCAAAGCCAGGTAAAAGTAATCTGTACTGTTAGAAGTCAGATTGTCTTTGCAGAGCAAGGAGGCACTAGAAATCATGAAGAGTCACATTTTATTTCTTGATCTTAGTAGTGGTTACATAGATAATGTGTTCCACTCATAATGATTCATCAAAGTATATACTTATAATTAGTGAACTTTTCTGCAGATATGTTACTTCCTAATAAAACACGAGAAATCATAATCTACCATTAAAAGCACAATCTTGGACAGTGATCTTATTAGCCATGTAGCTATTATTATTATTTCATCTTTATATATGAACTTGTGCATTACGTATGACAACCTGGTTCTTTGAGTACAGTCCCATTTTCATTTTCAGAAGTAAATCCTAGTTCCTAGAGGCACATTTGCTCTGCCTTTTATGTTTATGGAAATAAGCAGGTCTTGACTAAATCCGGTTGTGTTCAGAAGCTGGTCATCTGCTGGAGTATCCCCTTCTGTCGTTTTCCACAGCCAGAGTAAAGAGTAGAGCTTTCTCCTGAATTGCTGTAACTGCCCATGGAAGAGAGCTATTTCGTGCTCTTTCTGTTTATGGAGTCTGCCTCACCAAAAGCCTTCTTTTAGAAAATACACTATTTTAGTCCCTTTTTCCCTCTGCTTCTTGTTGATAAATTTCTATTGCTGATTATTTCTTTTTTATAATCAAAGCAAGACTTGCTTGTTGGAGAAAATTAGCAAAGTGCAGAAAAAATATACAGAAGTGTTTAAAAAAAAATCACTCATTGTCCTCAAAGAAAAATTGCACCAGAGAAGTGAGGCCGGGAGGAAACGCTTTCTAGACTATGGCTGTGGGAGTGAGTGGAACCAGCTGGGCTGAAGGACCCTGGGAGCTGCCAGGTGCTGACTGAGCGGGTGGCAAGCGCTGTAGGACCTGGGGAGGAGGTTGGTCTGTGCTGTGGCTCAGGTGGTTCCTCTTGACCCTTATCAAAATCAGCCTTCCAGCTAGGCCCAGGAGTGAATCGGGAGGCTGAGGTAGGAGGATCTCAAGTTAAAGGCCAGCCTGGGCATCTAAGGGGGGTGGAAATTCAAAGGTCTAGGGACGTAGCTCAGTGGTAGAGAGTTTACCCAGCGTGTGCAAAGTCCTGGGATCAGTCCCGAAGACCATAAAAAAATTAAAAATAAAAATTCACCCTCCTCCCTCTGCAGAGTCTGGAGAGAGGGTGCATCTCCTTTGTTTTGAGTTCACATTTTAAAGATGGCTCCCAATCCTGGAGGAAGACCTTCCTGCATTGTAAAGCCGGCAGGAGGTGGAGTTAAACATCTGGAAAAGGCAGAGAATTCACAGTGGTGAGTTCCTAAGGCCAGCACTCTAGGAAAAGGGAGGGCAGGGTCCGGGGCTAGGACTAGCCAGTCTCAAGTTCAGTAACAGGAAGGGGGAATGTCAAAGCCTTGGTCATGGCTCCCTTATGGTGAAATTGCTATTAACTGCACATTTCTTCTTGTCCTTTCTATGTTCCGAATCTTTTTTTTTTCCACTTGCCCTATCAATATGATCACATTTTATTTTAAAAGTAATCTATCACAAATATTTTCCCATGGTTGATGAACATAGATACTAAGCACTAAGAGTGTAGATGTCTTTTTACAGTTGTTAGCAATAGGTTCCAGGTCATATTACCTGTGGTATAACGGAATAAGTAAATGGTTGACATTAAAAAGGTGAAACATTATTGTCCGATCACAGACTGAGGGGCTCCATCGAAGCTTGTTCAGTATCTGCATTTTGCAAAGGTGAGGCTGTGACTTAGGTTTGAAGCCTTGGAGGATCAGGTGACCACAGGCAAATTCTGACTTCAGATGAGGTCGTGGGAATCCTAGACCAGGCCTCATTCCAAGTGAAATTCTCAGGGAATCGACTATCAATACTGCGATGAGATTTGAGATATAAGAGTCACTGAGCTATTTCACTAGACTCATTATTTCTTCCTTTTAGACATCCTTCACAATTTATATATTTCATAATCTATTTTCCTAGTTTCTATTTCAACTAATACAACTACTGCTTTGTTAATCACTTTATACTCAAATCTTGGGATATGTAAAACCTCTCAATTTTTTTTTTTAATTTCCCAACAAATCAGAAAGAAAGAGGTGATTGATATGTGAGAGAAGTAGGTGAAGAAGGTCCTTTTCTGGGAGGGAGAGTGGGCTGTAATAGGCCCTGTTACCTGGGGCGCTGAGTGTAGACCTGCGGGGTTCACCTGGCTTTTCCAGTGCCCACTGCGTCTCCAGAGCAGCTTCTCCTCTTTACCCATCTGTACAGCAAGCCTAGAGCGGTACACACGCACAGTGTTGTTTCCAAAAACGAAAATTATTCACTCACTCGGGGTGTTTATAGCAGGGACTGTCCAGTGTTAAGTGCCAGAAAACTAGAGAGATGCTAAAACACCCTGTAAATGAGCCTTCACATAATAGAGAATACAGGGAAATGACAATGACTGTGTTAAAAGATTGTCAAAGAGGCATAGGACCTCCCCTCGGGACTCTAGGAAGGATGAATGGAAGCCACAGCAGACAGGTCTGAAGTGATCGGTTGCTTATTATTTGATGGTATTAAACAGATCCATATATAAATCGTATAAGTGTTATAAGCATTCCCTTTTTGTGGGATTCTTTTCAATTAGAGATTGTTTTTGTCAGTGAATCTGTTTAGAGGGGATTTAGAACACCAAAAGCACAGGTAACAAAAGAAAAACCAACCATCAGGGCTACCTCACACTAACAGGCTTTGACAGAGCAAAGGATCCAGCCAGCAAAGTTGACAGCCAGCCATACAGAACTGCAGAAAAGAGTTGTAAACCGTGTACATGCTAAAGGTGAATACCCAGCATAGATAAGGAGTTTACACAACTCATTAGCAAAAACATTGAGGATAAAATTCCTTGGTTACAAAAAGGGTGAATGCCCTGAATAGACATTTTTCCGGAGCAGACATGCCAGTGTCCCATAGCTCTGTGGAAGAGCATCACCAACCATCAACACCACGGCCTGATACCCTGCCTGCGAGGGTGGCTGTTGTGGGGAGACAAGAGGCAACAAGGGCTGGTGAGGGGGGAGCAAGGAGAGTGTGGCACTGTTCCTGGGGATGTAGTTGTGCACAGAAAACAGCACTGTCTGCCAGTTCTGGATAGACATCCAGGAGAAAGGAAGCCAGGATCTCAAAGAGATGTCTGCACTCCATGTTCATTCCAGCCTCATCCACGATGGCCGGCATGTAGAGATGCGTCCGTGTCTGTGCTGGGTGATGATAAAGACGTTCAGGCGCATGTGCACAAGGGCGTGTAATTGAGCTATTGAGACAAATCCCCTGGGTCACAGTCACATGGAGGACCTGGAAGACGGGATGGTAAGAGACACGGGCTAGGCACAGGAAGACTAACGCAGCCTGATCTCACTGACGTGGGACGTCTGAAGACGTCTACGCTCAGAGCAGAGAATGGTGATTGCCAGCGCTGCGGGCGATGCTAGCCGAAGGGCACTGACTTTCAGCTCCAGGTGAACAAGTTCTGGGACCTCATGTACAACATGGGTGGTGACGGACGTTCAATTAGCATGATTGTGGTGATCACTGCACGGTGTATATTGAATCACCACATTGCACACCCTAAACACATTCTGTATCTAACAGTGACAATATTTTAAAATTAAAAGAATTCAAATGAAAACCACAGTGAGAAGCCACTAACATATCTAAGGATAATTGATTCCCAAGGGCACAAAGAAGGGACGAAACAACTTGTGTATATTGCTGGTTATTTTAACTGCACAGCTATGCATGTTTCTACTGTCATTCAGCTGTAGACCTGCAAGGGTCAGTGTACTGTGTGTAACTTAGGCCTCAATAACCTTGTAGTTGAAAAGAGAAAATCACATCAGGCTTCAGTTTGAATCTAACCACTCCTGTAGACCATATGCAATAATTATGTTTACCTAGGTTGACTTGATTAAATATGCTTGCATTTCTGTTTTGTATTAGTTTTTTTGCTCAAAATATTGCCATGATTCTACTTTTTAAATCATAAACTGAATTATGTTTCAATTAATCACAAGATTAGGCCTTTCTTCTCTTGTTTGCAATCCATTTTCACATTTAAGGATGTTATGCCTTTCAAAATTTTAAATTGCTTATTGATTTTTCGATACAATTAAATATATATCTGTAAACATTTTCTTTTAGAGTTAAAATTAATGTTTTTTTCTTTTAGAGATTAAATTGAATGGAATTTGAAAATAATAGAAAACTTGACAGGTGTCCCATTGTTATTTTCCCCTACAGCTTATAGAAACTGTTTCTTCTTTGAGTGAAACCACATTCGATAGTCCAGCTCTCCTGTAGTTTTTGATTGATGAGACAACGTTAGAAGAAAACTAATTGTGGTATCGATTGCTTCCTGCAGTGGTCCCATGGTGCTTCCAATTGCCAAGCAAGACAGTTTGTTGGAAAAAGACATCATGTTCAGAGATGCAACAAAGAGTGTGTGTGTCCAGCAGCCTCAGGATGGGACCCCTGAAAGCAGCCTGGTGAACGGCCCCAGCAAGCCCGAGCAGGTACTCACAGCGTCTCCACAGCCTTCCTCGGGAGGCGTGCTATAAGTCCAAATGACTCAAAAGCAAGGATCTGCTAGTCCCCATTCGGAGAAAAATGAATGGGTGCATAAGTCAATATTTTGATTGCAATTCCCACAGGTAAGTAGGGCTTTGTACTCCTGATTGACAAGCACAATTGCTGCTGTGTTTGTATTGGCAGTTGGTTTTTGACTGTCTTTACCACCTGTGGTAAATGGAAACTCAGCCAGGGTCCCTTCTTGCGGATTTCCAGTTGAGTGCTTGCTCGTTGTTTTGAAGATTACATAGTCTGCATTTTTCTGTTTCCTGAAGTTATCCAAATATACACAAGAAGAGGAGGAGCAAAGAGTCATTAAGAGCCATTTATCTTTAGAAGTAAACATATGTTGTGTGTGTGTGTGTGTGTGTATGTGTGTACGTGTACGTGCACACACAATTCCCAAGCTATGGGAGGCACTTGGAAGTTGGGAGGGATCACAGAAATTAATGTATTTCTTTCTTCATTGCCATAGAAATAAATGATTTTTATATGTTTAGCATTTTTTAAATGGCAGAGTGATTTACATTTTTAAAAACCATTTTGTTTCAGTGCATCTAATTCTGAATATATTATTTTAGCCAGGTTTTCTAAACACCCTCTTCTCAGGATTCCATGTAATTCAGAAAGCTTTAGATAAATCAAACTGAAGCTTTTTGGTTTTTTAATTTTTATTGGTATTGTTTTGAAATATTTTCTTAATTGGTTATAGAAATGTGTGATTAATTTGATTTCCTACTGTTGAGGTTTTCTGACATTCAAGAAATTTTCTAACACAATTACAACCAATGCATGATTTGTAGTCAGTGTTTTTGTGAGAATTTATAATGCTTCTGTTAATTTGTCTTTAAGCTATTAATTACATGTTGAGTTCAGCAGTGATACAATGGCAATTATTTATTAATTAAAGAAGTGCCCACTAAGTCAACTCTTTTGTCAAGGTCCTGCAATTTCCCCCTGTGGATTCAGAACAGTTTATGACTAGCAATTCAGTTGAATTTAGGTGGAAATTTAACATGCTATTTTTAAAAGACAGAAAATGCTTCTTAAAAATGAGCAGGCCTCCATGATCCAGAGGCTCGCAGTGGCCTTTCCTGCTTAACATCAGCCCCTGTCCTTGTCCTGTGTCCTGGCACCCGTCATGTTCTGCTTGGTTGTTACCTGGGCGGGAACAGTGGTTGCTTAGTCTCCTGCGCTGTGGCACCTCTCTCAGACCCGTGTCTCCCCACACACGTCACACCCACGGACCTTCTTGGCCACCGGGGTCTGGGTGGCTCTCTGCAGGTGAAGGCAGCGCATTTTCAGGATGATGCACTCCAGTGTCGTGAGAGGGTGTTAGCAAGGCCTTCCAAAGCAACCAAGCCTGATTAACATTTTTTAGAGAGGTCCATAATGTAGAGAAGTTTTTAAAATTAAAACAGAACCACTTAGCATCTCTCCTTCCAGATTTTTGTAAAATATAGGTCTCATCACAAATGGTAACTATGTTAATGAATCTTCAGGGCTTGATTTAACCTTTCTTTTAATTTCTGAGAACAAATGAGATTAACGTTAGCTTTTATATTATCTCCAAGAAAACAGAATTTTTCTCTTGCTGTTCAAAAACATCCCAGACAGTTTGGTCCTCCCCAGTCAGCGTGGATTGACTGCGCGTGAGATTCTGCGCAGTGGTGTCTTCTCTCCTCCGCCATCCGCTGACCTCACGTAATGCCTCTGCACATCCCCCAGGCTTCATTCCTTCAAAGTAAATTGAGATCATTGTCCAGAATTCTGATACACAGCAACACTCTACATTGACTGACACTCTCCCTTAAAAATACTTCTACCCACTGTTTGAGTCCCCAAAATATTTCTGGACACAGTTTATTACCCACTTTTGATATTTTTGCTCAAATTTCAAACTGAGTTTTAAATGGATCAAACTTAAGAGAGTGAAGCAAATTACCCAGAACCACGGGCATCTTTGACCTCGTAGCTGGGGCTCTTTTGGGTTCACTGCAGCAAGCTCTGGCTCAGCTCCCACAGCCCAGGTGACTGGGGACACCTCTGAAAATGGCAGGGAACGTCTGCATTCCACGCTGCGCCTGGGGTAGCTGGGTTTGGAGGTCTGGCCTGAGCTTTCTTCCTGTCATCCGTAGACACACAGCGGGCAAGCTCTCCAGCGGTAGCCGCCCAGCAGTCGGTGGAAAGGCCCACAAGCCCACCACTTAGCAGTGGGCAGTAGGAGGGCTTGTTCCGGCCGTCGGTCACGGTGGCAGGGAAGCTTAGTAAAGTGTTTCTCGTGTTTCATGCTGTCCTGTGAGGACACCAGCCACCTCCTCTTCCGACACTCTTTCCATTCTGGATTGTTGGCTCCCCTGAACCTGAACCCTTGTCCTTATCCCACACATCAGACCATCTCTCTTGCCTGTGGATGTCTGTTCCCCGGACATAGACTTCTTGTCTCCCAGAGAGAAAAATCACAAAGAACCAAACGGAACGGTGGACCCCAGGTACCAAGAGCTGCCTTGAAATGGTGGCGGCCAGGGGCCTGCAGACCCAGAGCCCCTCCCGCACTCCGGCTCATGCTGCTTCTGAGCGTGTCTCCTGAGCTCTTCTGGATCTTCTGTTCTGGATTACGTTTGTAGCAAATGCCACAGTGGCCAGTCCCAGAGGGGACGGGCAGCCTTGCCTTGGTCTGTTCCTCTGACGCGGGCTCCTGTGTTCCTGACCTTCCGTGGACGTGGGTGGTGTGCGTAATTCAGCCCACGGCTTTTCTTCTACTTCAGCTTTTCCCTGCCTTGACATGAGCTGTCACCGTGCCTGTGATGTGGCTGCATAAAGAAGCCACATCACGGATGTTCCTGATTCCAGTTGGTCATCAGTGTTTCCTTCCGTGTTATTTTGGAATCTGGATGAGCGTGGGGTCCATCCCTGATCCACTCAGCATCCTGACTGTCACAGGCCAGGGAGTGTCCATGTCTTGGCCCCAGCCCAGTGCTTTCAGCCCCTGGCAGCAGCTGGACTGGAGGTGGCAGTCTGGGAATGCTAGGGAGACGCCCCTGGGACAAACGCCAGCCTCTGTCACACTGCATGTTTTTCTACATGTGCAGGAAGAAACTGGCATCGAGATGGCTAGGGTGGTGGTCAATAGAGGAATTTTATTAGTCTAGTAATTACGCTTTCAGAGAATCATCTTGCTCATCTTTCTCCTTTGATGATTGCTCTTGGAGTTACATCTGCACTCTCACTTGTTGCAGATTTTGCTACATTTTTGTGTTGTTCCAAGACATTGGATCATGGCAGGTGTGATGGCTCACGCCTATAATCTCAGTAACCCAGGAAGCTGAGGCAGGAAGATTGCCAGGTTTGGGGCCAGCCTCAGCAACTTAGCAAGACCCTGTCTAAAAGTAAATAAAAAGAGCTGGGGTGTGGCTCAATGGTTACGCACCTCAGATTCAGTCACCGTATCAAAAACAAAACAAAACAGATATTGAATGGTATCATCGATTCATATCACACATGCACGGCTCATGTGTCTGTTAATTTTGTGTTTATACACACCGTACATTTGTAGTTTAGAGGACATTGATGACTGTGCATAAGATTTTGTTATTCAAGAGAATCTTGCAAAGACGTTAGAAGGAAAAGGTATTTATATCTACCCCTAAATCGATGATAAAAGATCCCTGAGGGCGTCTCTCTGTGTAGATGTTTCCCTTCCATGAAGTGCATGTGAATCCATTTGTCTTGTTTCCCAGAGTCCTGGGGACACGAGGGCAGACATTCCAGTCTGTGGTCCTAGACTACAGTGAAGTCATCTGTTAGTAAAGCACACTTCATTCTTGTTCCGTTGATCCTGGTGGGAGCTCGGCTTGGTCGCCCACAGCTGTGCCTGGTGGCTCTCCTTGCCTGATAGGTCCGGTCCACCTCTCCTCTTCTTCCTCCCCTTTTCTCTCTTTTGTGTGCTAAATCCCAATGCCTGGCTAAGAGTAGATGAGCAAGAAAAGCTCAGGGAAATTCTGGGTGTGTTCCCTGTTTACATCGTCTGCCGCAGTGTCTTCACCCTTACTTGGCAGTTCCTTTCCAGCTTCTGCCTCTCACCAGCTGTGTGGCCCTAGGAAAATCGTCACCATCTCTGGGCCTCATTGGTTCAGAATGGTGCAACACTGCAGTTGGTTAAGGCTACAACAGTGAAAGCCAAACTTTAAAAAGTTACTGTTCAGCAAAGAAATTTTTCTCAAAAGTAGTATGAGAAAGAGCCACATTTTTAAAACAGAGAATTGCTGAGGGTCTTGTTGAGGGCAGTGTGGTGAGTGACAGAATTCTTTGCTTGGACAGGCTTCACTCGGGCCTTAGAGCTTCCTGTAGGCCCACCTGCACCTCCTTGTAAATCCAGTTACAACAAAAGCACCCTGTCAGGTCACTTCCACCAGAGGCCCTGCAGTTAACCTGTGGTCACCCTCCCTAGCTGATGGGGCCCGATGGCCCTGGTCCCAGGGTAGGAGTTCTGTTAGGGCAGTTGACAGGACCCCTCCCCTCCAGTGACTTGCCACCCAGCTTCTCCCAGCTGTGACCGCCCTTGTCCATGTGTGTTCAGAGGCTCTCATCCAAGGGCCCTGCAGGGGTCCCTGTCCCACCTCCAAGCCCCAGCACCATCTTCCGTACCGTGCTCCAGCAAACGTCCCCGAATAAGTCCCTCTTCAGTGAGAGAGAGACCTGGGGTTCTCCACACATGGCCGTGAGGTCGCGCCTCCCCGAGCCTGCGAGGCCCAGGACAGCACTGTGTTTGTGCTCTAATAGGTCAGGGACAGCCTGGGAAATGATGGGTGGACTTTAGGGACTCGCGGCAAGATTCCATCCTGTGACAGTTACCTAATATCTGAAAACCAGCCTAATGTTTAGCTTTTAAAATGTGTAATATTTTTCACTTTATAAACATTTAGCTAAGATGATAAAACACCCACTGTTTATGTTTAAATCATTTAGCAATGGCACACAAAATTAATAATGCAATATCTAATTCCAAATATAAAATGCAACACAAATATGGAATGCAAACCTGAACACGCATAAAACAAACATGCTGTTATCAAAATTTGACTGTGGGCATCGTTGTCCTCACAGGGACATGGATAGGAATATTCTGTGTTCTTTACTGTCCTTGGGTGACATAAGAAAACCAGTGCTGCGATATTATGTCCAGGGTCTACTTTTCAGAGGATATTTCATAAAATTAATCATTACACATTTCCAAGCTAGATATTCATGTAGTTAAAGAATCCAAATTCATCTATCTGTCTTTTTATTTAAAATATTGTTCAGTTTCTAAACTCTGCCTCCCAATGTTGGGAGGAACAAGAAGACTCTGTTTTCCTCGTGGTGGTCACCCCACCCTCACAGCTTCTTAAGAGTATTGTAAACAGCATAAAAGTCACACAGACCCGGAACCTGCTTTGGACATCTGGCCCCTCCTAACGATGCAGAAACTAAGCTCCATGAATGGTGGCAACAGGAGAAGAGCTGGGACGCCGCGGTTCGGTACCCAGTGCCAGCTCTCTGTCCTGCAGAGGACTTCAGCTGCCTGGACTGTAGTGGGGGAGGGGGCTGACATGTTGAAGTGATCTTGATGGACACCATGACTGAGTGACAGGTGTCCTGTGGGGGTGTGCGCGTGCGCACTGTGGGAGTGGAGCACGGGTTCTTGTCTCATTACACTCCCCTGTGGCTCTGAATTTTTTTCATTTTTATTGATCCATGTCGTCTTTTCATAACAGTTTCACACTCAAGTGGTCCTCACACTTTTGACATGAGGTCGCAGAGGAAACCTCCAACCGCGGTGACAGCCGATTGGAAAGCTGTGAGAATTGACCACACTTGTCTGTTCCTTAGGTCAAGCTAATGCCTCCGGCTCCCAACGATGACCTGGCGACGCTGAGTGAGCTCAATGATGGCAGCCTGCTGTACGAGATTCAGAAGCGCTTTGGGAACAACCAGATATACGTGAGTGCCCTCGGGGTGACCTTCTGCTCCGCCTCAGCCCCCCCAACCTTCAACCTGCAGACCCTGCAAGCACCAGACTCCTGGTAGCTTCTGCTCCTGGTGGAGCTAGGTCCAGTGTCCTAGAGTTCAGGTTCATTCTGGTTCGTTTATATGGGGCAAGTGCTGCCGGGTTCCAAGTTTCAGAGCTAGGTGTAGATGCGAGTGTAGACTGAGCAAGATGTGAGTACTCACCACGGTTGAACTTTCCTGCTGTCACCATGGCTATGAAGGTCTTGCTGGACCCAGCAGGATCGGCAAATCACTTGTAAGAATGCCGTGCCTCCGCTCCTTTGCTCTACCCTGCCTGGCCTGGGAGAGACGCTGGGACAACTCATTGACTATGCATGAGGGCTGCTCGTTTGCATGGGAAGAGAAACTGTTGTTGTTGTAAATCATCAGGAAGCTCCTCTGTGTGTAAAGTAGATAATTCATACACGCATTTCTGATAACAGGATATGAAAATATTACCAGAAGACAAACAGTACAGAGAGTTGATTTGCAGTGGCCCTACCTTGTTAGAATGTCCCTTCTTCCAATGCCGAGGACAATGTAGGCACCTCGTCATCTGAAAGCCTGAGGAGGCTGAGGCTGTCCCCCTCCCTCCTTTGCCCCCACTCCCTTTGATTGTTATTTTCTGCACAGAGCAGAGAGCAATTCAATCAGAACGTCTGCAGAGAAATCTGATGATGCACATACCTGTTATCCTTTCTTGATAATACCCATTTTTCCTAATCTACTGAGAAATTGATTAAGTAATTTCCATGTAAATGTGAAGTATGAGATTTCTTTACAAGTCATAAATTGTTAGATACTGATTAGTCTATGAAAATGCAATACAGCATCTTGACGCTTGGATAAATTGCCTGCCACCGTAAATACACTTAAAATTAAATACTTCTATCAAAATTAATGAAAGTGAGTCATTGGCATTAAGTGGTGAAAGCTGATTGCTTTGGTCTGTTACCACCCTGGTACTTTTGTAAAGTGTGCGTGGTTTGCATCCCCGATATCATGTTTATTCTTCTTTTTAGGCTTTTTACTCTTAATTATAGTGCTGCCTTCCTACAATGCAGAAAGACTCTTGATGTTGGTGTTCCTCTCCCCAGGCTCCCAGTGACTTGGGTCCTAGCTCTCCACTTACGCCCAGCCTTCCTCTGTGGCCCACCCTGGAGCCACCAGCCCCTCTCCAAGGCTGGCCCTGCCTTCCCCCGGGGGCTTCGTTCCTCTCAGTCTGCTCTCACAGGGAACTGAAGTCACTTTCACCCACAAGGCCCTCTGAAAGCCTCTGTCTGGACTGTTGCCTGTGGCTCTTACGTTTCTCCTGGAGGCAGACCACTGTCCCTGTCCCCAGGCTAGAACCTCAGCTACAGGACTGCATGCCCTGCACCCACCTGGGTCCTGAGCAAAGCACTGAGGACTTCCTTTCCCATCCCTCAAGGGCCTGATGTCGCTTCCCTGCCTGTTCTGAGGCTTCCCTGAGACTCTTCTCTTTCCCCAACATTATCTTTCTTTCCCATGAAAGACGGGGGGAGCCTCCACTCAGGTGTTCTCTAGTGAACCTCCCTGAGCGTGCAGGCTGTCAGGGGTCAGGGTGGACTGTCACTAGCACAGCATCTCTGTTGGTGGCTGTGCTCCCTGTTGGTGCCTGGTTGACAGCTGGCTCCAGTGTTGGGTGCTGGGCACACACTGGGTGTGGAACCACACTGGTCATGCTCTTAGGAGGCCTGTCCAGTGTTTTTCAACCCAGCAACAGACTCTTCCTGCCGGCTTATCCCAGTCCTGGCTCTAACATGTCTTCAGGATAAATCTTGCTCTGCTCAGTTTCTCTCTCTCTCTCTCTCTCTCTCATCAGAATTAACATCTCCTGGGTTTCTCAAATTCATGTAAGATCTAAACTTGACACGGTGTGAGGCCTGGCTTTCCTGTCCCCTTACCTGAAATATTGAAGAGCTAAGCCACCTAGGATCAATGTCGTAAAAGGACTGCTCTGAGTTATGGTGTCTGATTCACATCTAATGGGTCGACGTGCAATTTAAACATTATAGGTTTAATAAGTTATTTTTAAGCATCTTTTGTGGACTGCTAGTCATGTAAACATCTTATTACAAGTCTGCAAAGAAATAAGCATTTTAAATATCCCGGACTGCGATTTGATCATTTGAGTCTGTTGGATGTGAGAATCGGGGTCCCCCCTGTGTATGTCTTCATGTAATTCTTCAGCCTCACTTCTCTAGCAATTCATTCTTATTTTCATTTACAGAAGTATCAGCTCTTGATTAATTGGAACTACCAGCCAGGGCTCCTTCCCCACAAACAGAAAACACAAATTTAGAGTCCGAATCTTGACATTATAGTAAATGGAGTTGGCCCTCCCACCTCTCCCCTCCTGCTCCTCCCCTGGCCTGGCCTCCTGGCTGACAGCAGCACTGTGTGTCCAGCCGGCTTCTCTGCCCCTGTCCACCTCTGCCTTTCCTGCCTCCTCTAGGATACACACGAGGTGCCGCCCTCACTGCAGCCTCCTGGCACACATACATTTTCACTCCTGCATTTAGCACTAAACTTCAAATAAATGCATCCGCTTCTTGCTCTCCTTCTGTCTGTTCTCAGTGCGGGCACTGGGATGATCCTGTTGGAGTGTACACCTCTCCTGTCCTTTCTCTGCAGAGAGGACGTCTAGTTCACCCTGAGGAGAGCCAGAGCCCTAAGGAAGCCCATGGGCCTGGAGGCTTGGCCTCCTGCCCCTGGCCTTCCTAACTCGAGGGCTACAGCTCCTCTCTTGGGTCCTGTGCTCCGGCCATCCTGGTCATCTTGGTGTCCTCTGAGCCCATCCGGCACCTCTGTGCAGGACTCTGTCTGAAAAGCTTGACCAGTGCTCCCTGCCTCCTCCCTCCAGCATCCTCGTCCCAGAGCCCCCTGGCCCCTCATCCATGCACGCTGCAGCACCTGCATTCCACCCTCTCACCTGGCTGTGCATTTCTCCTAAACTTATGCAGTACTCTGTTTTTCTTGTTTAGACTTCATTTTGTGTCTCCCACCCACGCACACTCTCCAGGCATGCACAGAGGTGCGCACACGTGCGTGTCCGTATCCAGCGGATGGAGAGTTAGCTGCACAATAAACACCGAATAAACAAGAAGCCTGCTCAGACCACGTCCCCATTTTCAGCACAAGAGAAAGAAGTTAATGTTTGCTTATTCGTGGCAGACAGCTGGGGCTGGTATGAGTGGTGACTTTCCTCAGAGCCCAGATCGAGTGTTAGTGAATCCGTTGTTTGATGGGGATCTTCATCTCTTTTCTGCAGTCTGATTTGTTATGTAATACGATCTTTTGAAACCAATGGTGACTTACTCTTCTACAAATTGTATAGCATTCACTTGAACGTTTAGAGGGACGTTCCATATCTCTGCAGCAGTAGGAAGCTCCCAACCTTCAAACAGAAAATGAATGGTGGGTGATGAGGCTGTGCTTGCGGGAGAAGCGTGGAATAGAGCACCCTTCCCCAGCTGCCCTGCAGCAGTCGGAGCAGGGAGAACAGAATGCAGCCTCCAGTCCTTTATGGGCGGCAAAGAAGCTTGTCAGCAGAAATCTGCATAAACACACTAATGTGACTGGAGAATTAGGGAGGAAAGAGCCACAAAATAAACACAGGGCTCAGAACATTTGCTGAGCCAAGCCTGAAACAGCAGCGGCCCCCACGGAGGGCTGCAGAGCTGGCCCCGCAGCCGCCGCTTACCCTGTGCCTCGCTCAGGTGACTGTGGGGCTGGCACGCTGGTGTCAGAGGTGGAGGGTCCTCCACCAGGGGAACTGACCCCTCTGGGCAAGCTGCCCCACCCTGTACTGAACACTGTGGCTATGCAATGCCGTCGCGGTTCCCTGTTGTCTGTGCAGTCTGACTGTGCGCTGGTGGAGGAAGAGAAGCACATTGGCATGCAGGGCAGGAACAGTGCCAGTCATGGGAATGTCCCCCACAGTGCACTTGCTATTCCTGAGGGGGTCCTATGACTGTGGGTCACATGGGATCCCAGCGTTATGAGCCACGTCCTGGTGATCACGAAATGCACACTTTCTCAAGTTCCTTCAGTGATTAGGCCACCATGAAAATTATTCCTCAATAGAAAATGCAACTTCCGAGAGGTTTGTTTCAAAGTCTCCCATCTCCTTTATCCGCTAATTTCCAAATCCACAATCAGATCCCCAGCTTCATTTTTCTTCTGTAGAATTCAACAGTAATTTAAAAGTACTACATCGATGATAACTCCAAATCTATTATCTCATTTTTATTGCCATTCTTCTGTTTGTTGTTGTTGTTTGTTTGTTTTTTGCAGTGGACACTGACCATTCCTTGTTTTGAGCAAACGCTGTGGGGAATCCTGGTTTGTAGAATTATAGGTAACGCTAGTGTCTGGCTCAGTGGAGCTTTGTTTTGCGAATGCACCTGTGTGAGCAGCAACCTGTAAAGACAGGGAACACAGGAGCCCTCTGTCCAGTTTACAGCGGTCACTTTGTCTCGACTGTTTTTCAAAATGTATTGGAGAGGAGTTTCTTTCATCCCTCTCACCCATCCTGGTGGTTCTGACATGCGGCTGCACAGCGGCTTGTAGAGGTGGTGATTAAGTTTTATTCCTGTGCATGGCTACTCTGTGAATGTGTCCTGATGGAGTTCCAGGGTCCTCAACTGGGGGGCCTTTGAGTCCTTGCACTCTTGTTGTGAACAGCCGACAGTGTGAGCCCTGCTTCCTGTGGTACACACTTGCAGGGACTTCCGTGGGTAACGTGCAGAAGGATTGCGGGGGGTTACCTAGGACAGGAACCCCGTTGGCGTAAAGCAGGTTCTGCCTCAGTAAATGTGGCCAAATAGCTTGCAGTGTGGCCAGTGGTTTGTTTCATTAATGCTTAGATTCCAGCCCTTCCCGCAGCTGTGCCCTGGTGCCTCGTTGTGACCTTAGTTCATACTCCTCTGGTAACCAACGACAATACTGATGAACGTCATGGCTCGTTAAGCTTCCTTTGTGAACAGTCTGTTTGGTTATTTGCCATTTTAAAGATGTGAGTTTTCTTTCTCTTTCGTCTGGATATGCAGGAGTTCTTACATACCAGAATATTCTTCCTCTCCACATGAGCATCTTGCATGCACCTCCTTCTGTACTTCTGGTTTTTCTCCCGAACTCTCCTGGTAGTGTCCGCTCTTGAGGGTTAGTGGTTTTGTGTCCTCTTTTGAAGAGAAGTTTATAACTTTTATGTTCTTGAGGGTTAGTGGTTGTGTGTCCTCTGTAAGAAATTTTGGCCTTGATCAATGAAAATTTTCTTCTATATTTTCTTCTTGATGTTTGATTGTTTTAACTTTTACACTGAAGGCAGACTACCCTGTGGAAAAGATTTCAAAGCCCTAAGACAGTAGGACCAACACGTGCCTCCTGCTGTGCTACAGAGCTGCCCATTACAAATCTGATGGACTAGGGAACTGGCCTCTTTCAGAATCTATTTTTTTATTGTAATAATCTGTTTGCTCTCAAGCCAATATCAAAATATCTTAATTATTGTAGCTATATATTAAATCTTGATATGTCCTAATCAATCAAAAAAGTCCTAATTTTGCTCTTCAAAATGTTCAGACAGTAGTGACCTTTGGACATTTGTATACATATTTTAAAGCCAATTCAGCAATTTCAGTTGGATTTTAATTAGTATTATTTCAGATATAATTCATTTTCCACTTCATGAAATGTTACAACTCTTCTTTCAGTCATCATTAATTTCTCTAAAATATTTTCTAGTTTTTGGTTTAGAACTCTTTCCCAGGTGTATTAAATTTATTTCTAGGAATTTTTCAAATTTTGAGAATATTTTCTTACTGGAATATGAAAATTCCACTTTCTTATCATTTGTGAATACTCTAGAATGATGCAATTTTGATTTTTTATGATCATCTTTTCTTTATTGGACTTGTTAAATTCATAAGTAAACTTTAATACATATGGATATTCTGTTTTTTGCATACAATGCCATTCTCTAGTTAATGACTTTTATTTTTCATTCTTAATTCTCTATCTTTTTTCTTTGTATTGTTTTGTGAGCTATGCCCATTGATTAAACAGTGACTGAAGTCAGCAATACCAGACAGCCTATTCCATTTCCAGACCCAGGGAGAAGCTCCAGTGTTTTATGATTGAGAGGTAGTTTGAGTGGCCACACCACAGCTACAGTTACTTTCCTTGGATTAGGTAGTTTAATGTTTTAAGTTATCACTATCTTTAAATCAAGAATGGGCACTGACTTTTATTAAGTGCTTTTACTTTATTTATTAAGGTGATCCTACATCTTTTTGTATTATTAATTATAGGTGTTGATTTTCACATATGAAGGCAACATTGCACTTCTAGAATAAAGCCTATTTGGTTGAGATATACTAACTTCTCATTTCCTATATTGCTTGATCAGTTGGTTATACTTGGCTTAGGACTTTGGCATGTATTTTAATGAGGGAGGTCGGCTGTACTTCTTCTATAACACACCGTGAGAGTCTGACACCACGTTCACGGAGGCCTCTTAAAGTGAAATGAGAAGTGTTTGTCTGTCGTTTTCTGGAATAACCTGTATAACATTGGTTTATTTGGTACTCAATGCCAGGAGGAATTCACCTAAGCTTCCTCTGTGCAAGGGGTTTTAGACATCGATTCCTTTTTGTTCACAGAAAGGAGCTGTTTGGGTTTTCTGTTTTCTCTGTTGGTGTGGGTGAGACGTGCTGTTCACCTTGTCTGAGGGTCCGACTCGGGGGTGAGCGCACTCCGCTGTCTCCCCTCACGGATTGTGTTTCTGACACGGGTATTTGGTGCATTCCCTCTTGTTTCTCTGATTGTTCTTATCAGGGTCGAGTTTGTAGATTTTCAAGGGATCACCATTTAGATTTTTTATTTTTTGCTTTATTTCTGTTTTTTCCTATTCTACCGAGTTTTGTTCCTACATTTTTAAAATTTTCTTCATTGTTTCTGTGTAATTTGATGTAATTTTAAAAGCTACTTGAAATGTACACCCAACTCACTAACTGCCACTTTCCCCTCCTTTTTAGCATACACCTCTCAGGCTGTATTCTTCATATACCACACCTGTAGCTGCAGCCAATTGGTATGGTCTGCTTTAACCAAACATTTTTTTTTTTTTTTGGTACCGGGGATGGAATTCAGGGGCACTTGACCACTGAGCCACATCCTCAGCCCCATTTTGTATTTTATTTAGAGACAGGGTCTCACTGGTTCGCTCAGCACCTTACTTTTGCTGAGGCTGGCTTTGAACTTGTGATCCTCCTGCCTCCACTTCCTGAGCTGCTGGGGTTATTGGCATGAGCCACCATGCCAGGCAACCAAAATATTTTCTTATTTGTATTTTTTTTTCCATTTTTACTCATAGGTTATCTGCATATATATTGTATAATTTCCAAATATTTGGGGGAAGCATCCATTACTGATTGATTTCTTAATTGAAATGAATATTTTAAAAGATACGTTTTATTGTTATGTTTAGAGTATATAACATTTTGTCCTGATGCATATAGTGATTACTGCAGTCAAGCAAATTAACATATCCATCACTTCAGTCACCTGTTTTGTTTTGGAGTAAAATCCCCTAAACTCTCTCAGCTAATTTCCTGTACATAGTTCAATATTCCATTTTAATTCTACCATGATCAGAGAATAAACCTGTTGACTCGGATCCTCTACATTTAATGAAATTGAGCTGGGCCCAGTGGTTCATGTCTATAATCCCAGCAACTCTGGAGACCAAGGCAGGAGGACAGTTACCTGGAGGTCAGCCTGGGCAACTTAGGGAGATCCTGTGTCTGAATAAGAAAAGGGCAGTGGGGTAGCTCAGTGGTCGAGCACTCCTGGATTGGGCCCCCAGTGCCCCCCACCACATACACACACATGCACACAAATAATAATAGTAATAAATTAAACAAATAAATGAATTTAATGAAACTGCTCTAGTTCACCTAAGAGGGATGCATATTCTGCCATTGGTAGTAAGGATGGCCTATGTAAATTAATAGGTCAAACTTAATTATTTAAAATTTTGTTTGCTTATTCCATAAACCATAAAGCAGAATTTCTCACCATCATTATAAACTCATACTCTCTCGCTGTAGCTGTGCTTATTTTCTTAGGAATGATGCTGGATCTTGTTTACGGAAACCGCGTTTGCTCCGTCTCCTTCTTGCTTTGTCAGTCTGTTCCCATGAAACGTCCCCTTATTGGGGGCACTGCTTCCTAACTTGCACTTTGTCTCACCCAGCGTTGTGAGGATCACCTTCTCGCCTGGTAGTACTGTTTGTATTTGTATCTTGCTTCTTTCTCTGACATTCAAATTTTCTTAGTCTTTATGTTTAAGGTGCTTACCTTTCAGGTAGCACGTTTCATATTCTAATCCAGTGCGTAATCTGTGTCTTTTAACGCAAGTATTTGGAACCTTTGTATCTGCTGCACTTACGGATGCGTTTGGGTTTAAATCCATCCTCTTATTACCACTTTCTTTTATCTGTTCTTTGTGACTTTATTGATCTTTGTTAGTTAAAATGTCTTTTTGATTCTTGTGCTTTAGCAACACAGAGCCCTCCCTCTACTTGCTTCTTCCTATGCATTTGTTAGTTGCTTTAACTCTGTATTTTTATTTAGACTGGCTCACAGAATCCCGTGATGAATTTTTAGCAGCCACCCATTTCACTTGTTATGTTTAGTGGAACAAATTTGAATTTTTCTATTTCTTCAATTACAAATATTTGAAGCAATTTGCAGCAATATGGTATTCCTTATTCTCTATACCTCCCATGATGATCTATAAGTCATATAATTTTTATTCTTTTCAGATTCTATGCATTGGTTCCTGAATTATTTCTGTCTTTTTTTAACAGACTTTCATTGGGGATATCCTTCTGCTTGTTAACCCATTCAAGGAGCTCCCAATCTACTCTACCCTGGTGAGTATAAACTTAAAATACCTTTTAATGACACAAAGGAACTCTCTCTAGGGATACACCTGTGTGTCAGATGATTGTTTAGAACAAAAGAAATAATAATGAAGGTCACACTTCTCAGAAAAACATTTTAAAATTCTCAATGAATGGTTGCATGTTAATTAGTTTGTTCTGAGGAAACTTTGAAAATCAGAGTTATTTATCAAAAGTATGCTTAGCACTAAAAGTATTTGATTCTTCTAAGACAGTACTCACTGGACAGGCCAAACTGATGGCTGCTTGTTCCATACTCTCCTGTTAACCTGGGGATCTGTGCCTTAAAGCCCTTGCTTGAACTCATGAATTCTTCCTAAAGAGATTCTGTTGGGTTGAAGCGTGGGACAGGAAAGGGAAATAGTGCGTGTGTAGATTTTCCCAAATGACTGGCTAGTTTTAATCGTAAGACCTTCATGATTAAGAGATACATTACTTTTGGAAAATTATTCCAGCCAACTGGAAAACACAGGATGATGTGGAAGCAGTAGTGGATCGAAGGCTGTCTCAGAGGGCTCTTAGGTGTCAGTGTGTCCGTGGGCCAGCTCAGCTCTACAGTGGAATTCACACTAAGGAGTAGGTGTGTGGAAAGTAGGAGATAGGGAGTAGATGTATCCTCCTGAAGCCCAGTCACACCCATAGATAGGGGGGAGAGAGGGACAGACAGACAGAGGTCACCCTCTGCAGGCCCTCGAGGCATCAGGTCTCACCGCACAGCTCAGGAGAACAGCACTGCGGCTCACTGGGACCCTCCCCTGGGCACCAGAAGTCAACTTCATAAAACTGTCTTCATTGTCCCAGTCCTACCCGAGCCTCACCCCGGGCAACCAAGAGTCCATGGACATGACAGACAAGAGCAAGAGGACTTTCCCAGTCATTGCAGAAGTTCTGTCCGAGGCTTAGCGTTGATCTGACGTGGCTTCTTAATAACTCAGGAAAAGCTCAGCGCTATTTCTGCCACTTTTCTGTTGCAGCATAAATGATATTTCTGTGAGGTTTATCTAGTAATGCAGAGTCTTGGACCAGTGTCAGATGTTCTGTAGAACTGATTCATGCAAGGCAGTGGCATCCGAAACCCTCACGCAGGTCAAGGAACAGAGGGTCACTAACTCCGCAGATGTGTCTGTGCAGAATAGTAGGCATTTTTCCTTTGTCCGACTTGTGAACATTCCCTTTTGTGGCTGTGTGGCAGTGTAATTCACCACTGATGGAAATCAGGTCTGTGCGAGGTCCTTGTGGCCTCCACCTGTGCACTCGTGCTGCTGGGCACAGCTCCAGGAGGGGACTGGTGGCTGCAGGTGTGTTGTGTGCTCAGTTTGGGGACATGCTGGCAATCTTCCAGGTGGTTGTACCAATTTATGTTCTCACCAACAGAATGTAGCAATCTGGTTGCTTCTCTTCTTTGAATAAGCGAATCCTATTTGTTCTGTCTGCCATCCTCCTGGGTATAGAGTGGAATCTATGTTGGTCTCAGTATGTTCTTCTATGAGAAGCAGTGGCACTGACCACATCTCACATGATTATTGCCAATGACATCCTCCTTGTGAAGTGTCTGTTCAAGACTTTCACATTAAAAGTGTTAAAATTGTTGGGTCATCTTTTTCTCAGTGGTTTGAGGACCTTTAAGGATTCCGGATTCTAAGTGCACGTGGGAAACACCTTGGAAGAGGGAGGGTGAGATTCGACTGTTCTTTATGTGTGTTTGACACAGCCTTGTTTTGTAAAGACCCGCTTCCCCTCTGCACTCTGGGGGCCCTTCTGCCTTAGCCAGGTCTCCATAAGGAGAGGCCTGTGGAGGTAACGTCCCTCACCCCGGAGCCTGCTGTCTGCACGGCAGTGTCTCCACTGCAGACCTTCATGTTGGCCCTTCTCCGTTGGCCTGGGCATGGCTGGTTCTAGCGTTTCTCTGGCTTGGAGTCAGCTCATCAACTCCCTGGGGTGTGTTGGGGAGCGGAGTGAGAACCCCCTGGATTTTCAATCTTATTGCATGAAGCTTGAGAATGACTGAAATTTCCAAATCTCTTAAATATATCATTTCTTTTGAATTCTTCTCAGTGAATAATCTTTCTGCTCTTCTGGGAGATGTCTTACATAGTTTCATTCAATGTTTTAAATGATATTATAAATAATAGTCTAAATTTTTTTTCTGTATCTAGTCATCATGTAAAAGCGATATTTCAAAGAATAACATTATCTTAAATCTAGTAAGTTATTAAATTCACTTGATAGGTATAAAATCATTTAATTTTTAAAGTGCACAAAATCATGTTTTCTACAAAAAAAAAATCTTCTTTTACAACCCTTCTGCCAGATTTTCCTTATTTTACCAGGTAAGATAACCATAAAATTGGTAAATGGAAACTGTAGTTCAATTTAAAAGTAAAAAATTATTCCTAATCTCAGGGGAGACTTTAATAACTCCATATCAGGTGTGAAGATGGTTTTTTAATTCATAAGGTCAAGGAAACTCCATTTTATTGGTATTTTCATAAGAGGGTACATAATGAATGGAATATTTGATTTTAACAAATATTTGTGTGTGCAAATGAGATAATCATTTTTCTCATTTATTGTTTTGTTTATGAATTGTTTCCTTACTTTCAAATGGTAAGCAAACCCTCTTTTTAATGTTTCATTCATTTCTTTATAATATTGGATTCTATTAGATAATAATTAGAGATTTTTGTATTTATGCTCATGACAGAGATCAGCCTCTGATTTTTCTTTTACTATTTTTTTAGTCCTTCATATCAAAATTATGCTGAATTCATAAAAGTAATTGGAAAGTGTGTTCTGTTTCCAAGCTTGGAGAGAGTCTGTGTGAGCTCAGTGTTATTTCTTCCTCAGTGTTTGGAAGAACTCACCAGGGGACCACTTAGGCCTGCTGTTTTCTTTGTAGGGAGGGCTATCATTCTGGGTTTAATTTCACTGACAAATATGGGGCTCTTTGTGTTCTTGTTCCTTTTTATTTAAGTTTTTAAAAGTTGTGGGGGTTTTCTTTGTTTGTTTGGTACTAGGGATTGAACTCAGGGGCACTTAACCTCTGAGCCACATCCCCAGCTCTTTTTAAATTTTTATTTAGAGACAGGGTCTCACTGAGTTGCTTAGGGCCTTGCTAAATTGCTGAGGCTGGCTTTGAACTTGAGATCCTCCTGCCTCTGCCTCCTGAGCTGCTGGGATTACAGGCGTGTGCCGCTGAGCCTGGCCTAATAATTATATTTTTAAAGAATTCTCTGACTTCGTAAAATCAGTGATCTAGGAATTTATTAATTGTATTAATATCTTCAAAGAAAAATATCTTGGCTTCTTTTCTTGTATAGCATATTTGTTCTCATTTGACCTCTCTGCCTTTGGCCTTCCCTTCTTCCTGCTTTGAGTTCACTTTGATCATTGTTTACATGGTATAGATTTACCACTTACTTATGGCCTTTGTTAATAAAATAAGATCTTGAGGCTTTTATTTTACTTTCAATGCATCTTTACTGAATTCATAAATTCATTATCATTGAATTTAAGATATTTTCTGTTTCCATTTGTGATTTTTTTCTTTGTCATATGACTTCTATAAAAATATAAACTTTATTATTTTTTCTGTTTTCTACTTTTGTTCTTGACGTATAATCTGGGCAGGTGGCCTACCAGGTTATAGTTATTCTCTCTTCTTTTGAATCTACGGATAATGTCATCTATAAATTGTGGACACTAGTTATGTTATTTTTTAAATGCTAAAATTTCCATTTTATACTCTTGATCTCTGATGAATTTCTTCATTGTTCTGTTCTGTTCTTGGCCATGTCAGTTCCTGATGGTTATAGTCTGATGGCTGTAACCCTGGGATTATTTTCGTGTGTGTGTGTGTGTGTGTGTGTGTGTGTTTTCTATTACATGGTGTATTTACTGACACTCATGGAATTTTGGGGTTAAACATTGAATGTTCCCTGTGGAAGTCTGCGGAGCCTGGGATGCTGTTACCTCCCCACAGGAGAACTTGCTTTTCCCTGGTGGCAGGTGAGCTGCAGGCAGGCCCCTTCCCCGCCGAGGCACTAAGGTTCTCACTGGCCCTTCTCGTGAGTCTGCTGAGAGCAGGGCTGATGTGCACAGGGCTGGTGTCCATGGGGCTGATGTCCGCTGGGCTGTCCTCCTTCCCTGAGTCTGGAACGAAGCTGACTTGTCCTCTGAGCCCTGAGAGACTGCTCCGATCTCTGCTTTACTCAGACACTTCACTTCCTGCGAGGCCACTGAGCTTCACTCAGAAAAAGGACCATGTGTGCTCAGAAAGGGTCACAGAAAGTCCCCCTGGCTGGTGCATCTGGGTTTCTCCACCGTCTTGGCTTCTTCTATTTCAGCACCTTGCTGATTTTCAGAGGCCTACAGTTTAGATGCTTGACTTGTATTTCATACAGTTTTTACAGCTGTTTGTGGTAGGAGAATTAACAAGTAAGCAGCTCCTGTAGATATAGAGTACCATGGGTCTTACCTGTATTTATTGCACCAATGTAAGAAAATCAGGGGGTCCTGTGCCTTCAAATCCTGAGCTTGATTGGAAGTTCATTGGGATTTAACTCAGGGTGTACCTTTTAGCAGGAATAGGGGGAGAAGAGAGAAAGTGGGAGAGCAAGCATGTGCTATCTTAAATGAACTGTGGGACATTGTTCCTGATGTAGCTACAGGATCACAGTTGATTGTAAAGCTGACAAAGATTTTACAGTGAGACAAAGTCAGTTTTGGAAAACTGAATGAAAAAATACAGAAAAATAACTGTTTTTTAAATGCTCCTCTGAATGTAGGGATACATCAATTCTGAGTGTTGGTCCAAGTTTAACATAATAAAGGGTTTAGGTATGACTTTTCTTTGTCATAGGCTTTTGCATCTTGTGGTGGAAACAATCTATTATTTGGTAGGTTTGTTTGTTTTTTAAAGTGTTAACAGTATGACAGTTTTATGGCTTCAAATAATATATTCATAGTTTTTTCAGAAACACATATTACTGGACAAAAGGAGACACACGTTAAGAGGTATATTCTTTATTAATGTAGAAAAATAATGTAATACATTGGGTTGGCAGCCAGAATGGTTCATCACAACTTAAAATACAAGGTATAATATCCAAAATTATAAACATATGGCTTACATATATATTTAATAATTTACATAACTAAATTTAATTACATGTTTAATACACAAATATTAACATTTAATATATGTTTTGCATTCACACTTCACTCATGCTCATCATTTCTAAATGTCATGGAACATAAGAAGGAAATAAAAAGAAGAATATGTGAAGTAAAAGTGCAGTGATACAAAGCTTACCATACGATTACTTCATTCTACAGGGCATGGAATTCCAAAGGGCATGGAACTTTCAGAGTTCCCCTCCATTATGCAGAATCTGATGGTCTACATAACCTAAATAGGGGCAGGTGCAGTGATTCAGGTTGGGGTGAATTAGTGAGCATCCTCTGCAGCAGTGCTAGAGGTTAATAATCTAAAAAATTGCATTACAGTGACCGTGCTGTCCCCTGGACACGACAAGGAAAAGAATATCGTTTCTGTGTCTATTTATTATCATTATATGTCTGTCTTTTTAAAATGATAATTATTTCCCAAATGGTTTGGTTTCTTCCCATGGTGATAGGGTTATTGAAAGGATAAAATAGCATATTAGGTGTGATCTCACCTGCGAAGATCATGAAGGCCAGGAGAACAGTGTCCATGTTCAGAGTTACAATGCCCCAGGCCATCTGTGCTTCACCTTCTCCTTGTTCACACTGGGGATCTGTCTCAGGCCTTGGTGATGTCCGTTTCTGAGTTCCAGAAAGTCATTAATCGTGGGTGCAGGACCCTCTTCTTGGCCAGGTTTATCCCAAGATGAATGTGAACGTGCGGCAGCAGGAAGCCCTGTCCGTTAGATCCTTGCTGCTGTGGCGACGTCAATCTGACACTCACAGTCATTTGGCAGGCCAGCAGTGGGACTTGTGCTGTCCCTTCACGCTGAGGACAAGTGACATCGTCAGTTTTCAACATGTAGAATGTAGGAGAGAAGATGGAAAAGTAGCTAGATCTCTCTGCACTAGCTTTACAAAAAGCAACTTAAAATCAGAAGCAAGCAAGCTTTTATCAAGCCAGTTAACACCTGTGGAATCCATTAACATGATACCGTGTGTGAAATACTGAGAGACACTACGTTGTTGTCTTCATCCTTAAAATTGCGCGGACATTCTAGAGACAGAACACCAGTCACACGAAAGAGCACCAAAAACAGCACTTGCGCTGAGGACAGGAGCACAGGAGCCGTGTTGAGGGTGTGCGCTGATTGAGAGTCAGAAGGATGAAAGGAGAGAAATGGGATGCAGGCCGGAAAGGCCGTCCACGGAAGGGAAATGGGAGTGGGGGACAGGGCGTAGAGGGCTCTGGAGATGAGCAATACATGACCATGGAAGGCACAGTCCAGTTTGAGAAGAGCAAGGCGTTCAAAGGTTGAACGTTAACAGTCGGGCCTAGGCCTGGAGTATGAAGTTAGATTGGGGTATCCTCTCAGTAGACGTCCACCCTCGAGGATCTCAGAAGCAAATGCCGTCTTTACGCACGTGCAGATTCTTGTGAAAAACATGAGCTTTTCCACAATATGCCCCTGTACCTAGGTGCTGCACAGGAGAGAAACATTGTCAGTAGTGTGTGAAGCCAGAGCCCATGCCGCCTCAAGCCATCGGCTCCTGGCAGCTTCCGTGAGGTCACCATGGTCCTGACAGATGGGGCTAGTAGTAGAATGGCCTCTTCATAATCTGTGGAAGTCAGAGGCGACTTCAGGAGTGAACCCGTGCCGGGTGCTGCCATCTGCTGGCAGTTCACTGAAGGCATCATGTGGGCACAGAGGAGGAAAGGACGGAGCTGATCCTGATTCCCTGATCCATATTCCCAGAGGGCCCGACAAGGTCAGGGAGATGCAGCAAAGCTGGTCTGTTGCCAGCGCCCCCTTGAGCTGAGGTAGAATGCTTGACATGTCCACGGTCCTGGAGTTGTGTTGTCCCCAGTGACACAGAGGGGCAGAGCAGAAGATGACATGGAGAGAGAAAGGAAGTGTCGGCCCCGAGCACCTTTGCTGGACACAGGAGCATGTGTGATCATGTCCCCAGTGGACATGAGAAGCAGTGGACAAGCTAGAGGCCTGTCAGTCCTCGGAGACTAGAGCTAGGTGAAACCCTCACTTTCTGACAGAAAACATGGAGGAGGGAATGTTATCGTACTATGGGGATCAGGAATCACAGCACTGACCACCCTGAGCAGTGTCACCCAGTGGGATCTGGGGATCCTGACCTGCAAGGAGGCGGGTGAAGAGTGGGATCATCATGAAGACACCGTCTGGAGACGCCAGGTTCTTCTCCATGTCTGATCTCTAGTGAAACTCAGCCTGAGAGGAGAGGAGACCCCCGAAGGGGTTTCAAGAAGCAGCGTGAGAACCGCATGCTTCTGGGTCTCTGCTGTCCCCTGTGCTCCTGGTACTTCATGACACTCAGCAGAACCAGATCACACCCAGGGGACGGGGAAAGTGAAGCGGTGTTAGGACCGACGTCTGTCCTGCCAGGACGGGACCCTGGGCTGGCACTCCACAGCTGCACACAGGGGGTGTGTGAGGGCTGCGATTTCATTAGTTTTACTGTTCATTTGGATTCTGGAATGATGAGAAGCACAAAAGTGTCAATAAAATACGCTAGACTGTGTGCCCGCCGTCCATGCGACTCTTTTAGATACTGCAAGTTACAGATGCCACATTTTCTCTCTTTACTCCTGAGGTGCAGCTGTAAAGATGCAGTAAGAAAACACGCCCTGGTCTATCTGCAGCGTGTTTTCTGGGTGGTACTCACATGATGCTGTGTTTTAATTCATGGGGTCTTCAGGGTCATGGACACAGGTGTGGCAGCTGCCACCACCCCACAGCTGCTACCTTTCATTCATGTTTACTGTACACGTTTTCATTCATGCATATAATCATTCAAAAACTGCAGATGCCATTATTTTTTAGTTTTTAATTTACCCAAATAACATATTAGCTATGTCTTTTTACAAAAAAATAAAAAGAAAAGAAACTAAAAAACTCCAATTAACTATAGGTTTCTAAAAGTTTTCCTTGTTGAAAGCTTTAGTCCTAGTTAGTGTGTTCTAAATTAAAACTGCTTTTTTTTTAATTAAAACACACAGTGTACCATTATACTTATCTATTAATCTCTACTGCAGATTTTTAAATTATTAGTGTTTCTGCTGAGGTTGGTTTGACGGGTTTGTTTTCTGGTCCTGTTTGGGAATTTCAGAAACCTTCTGAGTCCAACACCCCCCCACCCCCAAGCTCAGCACACAGTGTGCGATGATTCTCCTCTCTGGTTACAATAGCAGCTCTCGGTGTGTAGTGGGGTTTCCTCCCTGGAGAAGTGGTTGAATTCTGTCTTCCTTATGTTTTCATTCTAATGTAATGAAATTCAGTAAAAACTCAAAAGGACAAACAGTGCTAGCAGCAAATCCTGTAGCATCATATATCACCATTAAGTGAATTAATTTGTATTTTTCTGATAAATGTGTAAATTCCTGTTCAATTCAGGAGCGACTAGTTTCTCATTCTTCAGGTTAGAAGCCTTGCTCACTTAGGCCATCAGTGCTCAGGGTGGCGAGAGATTGTGCGGGATGTGAATTGTCACGGTGTTTTAGTTAGCTTTTTGCTGCTGTGACTGAAGGTCCGGACCAGGACGATTGTAGAGGAGAAAAGGCTTATTTCAGGGCTCACGGTTTCAGAGGTCTTAGTCCAGGGAAGGCTGGCTCCATTCCTCAGGTCTCAAGGGGAGGCTGAACATCATGGAGGAAGAGTGGCAGAGGGAAATAGCTCACATGTGATCAGAAACAGAGAGACTCCACTCACCAGATGCAAATGTAGACCCCAAAGCCACACCCCGACGCCCATCTCGTCCAGCCCCCATGCCACTCCAGTTAATCCCATCAGGGATGGACTCATGGACTAGGCTAAGGCTATGACCCAGTCATCTCTCCTCCAGACCTTCCTGCATTGTCTCACATGGGTGCTTTGGGGACACCACATCTAAACCATGACACATGGTTTTAGCTTCCTTCTCGGGTATCTGTTGGACTTTTCTGCGTTGTTCTTATAGACAGCAGAATATCTTAAGACTTGTGAACCAAGAAATGAAGGATAAAATATAAAACTCAATATTATGCCTTGAAATGTGCTCAGCGGGTGGAACTTTATGAGTGTTTTGTGGATCCAAATGAGATTTGAAAGGAGAGAGCCCTTCAGTTTTGTAGCAGATGGGACAGGAGTCATCACATCAGGGGAGGAAGGGTCCCGGACCTTGCAGAGTCCCGGACCTCACAGGGCACCCTGGACCTTCCACAGCGTCCTGGACCTTACACAGAGTCCCGGACCTCACAGGGTGCCCTGGACCTCACACGGTGCCCTGGACCTTGCGCAGTGGCGCTGACCTTGCACACATGTTCTTTTTCCTGTCCCGCCTCCAGGTCTCTCAGCTCTACCTGAGCCACACGGGGAGGCCCAGCCCCTCGCTGCCTCCCCACCTCTTCTCCTGCGCAGAGAGGGCCTTTCACCAGCTGTTCCAGGAGCGGAGGCCTCAGTGTTTCCTTCTCAGGTGAGTCACCTCGCCCATCCCCATGCTCAGATGTGCCCCAGGAGCTCGGTGGGGACAATGTCCTCATTGGTCCTGGTTGGCACTTACTTAACGTCCTCTGCGGCTGGCGGCCAGTGTATCACTTCAGTAAGTACAATTGACTTGTCACACGGAGGGACATCTTTCCTATCAGAAGTAGCCCCAAGTGCAGTGGAATCAATACCAACAAACTTAACCTGAAACTCATTTCATTTTGAAGATTTAAAACCTACAGCCACAGTGAGCCTAAGAAGCGCACAGACAGCAAGCTGAGGCTGGTGCTCCGGAGCCACGTTCTCGGTGCCGGCAGCGAATGCCCTGCCTGCGGCTCCGGTGTTGACTGTCCTCTGCTCATGCTTCACCAGGAAATATTCCCAGGGGTGTTCTTTTTAATTTGATATGTAATGGTGATTTTTAACCCCATAAGTTTTCACTAGAGCAAAATGTCTTCAAATAAAGGGGACTACCTCAAGATGTGGGGGTGAGGGACTGAGCTTACATGTTGAGAGATTCAAGAAATGTTTAACTATTAAACTCTGTGCCAGAGAATTATATCCGACGCGACCTGTGCTGGAGGGAGACATCTGTCAGTGTGCACAGCTTGGCCTCCTGACTGCCAGTGCTGGTGGCTGGAAACCGAATGTGTAAAAGAAAGTAGCACGCAAGCCTAAATGAAGCACAGACAGTGTAAAGGTGGAACCTGCCTAGGTTCTTATTTAATTTTTTTAATTAAGCATTTATTTATTTTCTTTGACATCATTGATTTCATCCAAAATCCCTTGGAGGGTTTGATTAGTGTGTTTCAACTCTAGTGTTCTAGGTTTCAAGATGGCGCACAGCAGTTTTCACACTGTGTTGGGAAGAACTCCAGGGATGAGAGACGTAGGCTGGGGCCCCTCACCCATCCCTGAATGAAGCAGCTCTCTTTTGTCTGCTTTCCTATTGGGTTGCCTGGTCTTTATTGAAAAGGGAAACACAGCTAAAAATTGCTTAGGAAATATTGTAAATTGATGAGATTGTGGGGAGTGTTATTGACATCAATAACTACTATTTACTGAGCACGTACAGGGTGCCAGCTCAGAGCCTTTCCTGAGCCTAAATGAAGCTAAACCCCTTGTATGGCCAGAAGGGAGTGCACCCCAACTTCCCATTGCTACCCAAGGGGACCATCAAGAGCCCTACTGATCTTCCCTAAAATGATGGTCACAAATACTCGAAGTGACTGAGATTCTTTTTGATTACTCAGTTCTAGAGCAGACCATTCGGCAGCTATCCATGAGTCGTGACGAGCATTGGTCCGAGGTGTGCTGGGTCAGGCAAGGGAGGAGCCAGTGACCACCCTTCTTTGAGGTCTGCCAGGACACGGTCCACGATTTCCAGCCAGTGCCTTTGGTGGAACAGCGGGATCCCTTTGTATAACCTGAGTTCTACATGTATTTGCTTAGGGATTTTTTCTCCTGGGAAACTTGATAATAATTTATAGAACCAATGTTCCTTTGGGACATTTTCCAAGATTAATAATGCCATATCAATAGTTTCTTCTCTCAAGTTTCGAAGCAGCCTCACCGAGTCCTTGTATGCAGAACCAAGCCCAGATCTGAGCTCACAGGGAGTTCTGATTGTGGCCCTTCTCTCTTTTTCAAAACTGTGCATTGTCATGTGGCTTTGACCCCTCCGCAGTCCTCCTGTCTAAAGCAGAGGCTTTCTCCACCCCACCCAGTGGGGTTGATTCTGTGTGATTCATTCGCCGAAGTGGCTTACACATTGTTCTGTGCCCATGTTGTGTCCCGGAAGTGGCTTTTGCAAGGGTAATTTAAGACCTGGTGAGCAAGACTCAAATACTCCTGAATGGGTGTCCTATAACTTAGTACCAGAACAGAAGATTTTTAATTCTACCTCTGAATTTTTTTTAATGTCTGATTTTGTTGAAAATCTGAGGTTCTCATAGTAAAACGTTAAGGGAAGGTTCAGATGAGGGGAGTAGAGACTTTCATTAACAATGTGGGACTTACTTAAGGACTTTTCTGGCAAAAGCCCTGCTTTAGTCAGGTTTTTTCACTGCTGTGACCAAAAGACCTGACGAGAACAGACAGAGGAGGGAAGGTTTATTGGGGCTCACGGTTTCACAGGTCTCGGTTCACAGATGGCCAACTCCATTGCTCTGTGTCTGAGCTGAGGCAGAACATCTTGGCAGAAGGATGTGGGAAGGAAGGACGTCTGGACATTACCATCAGGAAGCAGAGAGGGAGAGCTGTGCTCACCAGGGACAAAATACATGTCCCAAGGCACAACTCATGTGACCTGCTCCTCCAGCCACACCTCACCTGCCTACAGTCACACCCAGCTGATCCAGTCCAGTAGATTAAGGCACTCATTAGGTGAAGGCTCTCACAACCCAATCATTCCACCTCTGAACTTTCCTGCATTGTCTCACACGAGAGCTTTTGGAGGGCACCTCATATCTAAACCATAACAGGCCTTTGAACCAACTCCATTAGAATAAAATTTTCTTTACAGAAGTCTGCAAAAGTTCTAATAAAAGGACTTTAGAATTTTTTTGTGAGCTGGGCTTGGTAGTGCATGTTGGTAATACTAGCAATTTGGGAGGCTGAGGCAGAAGGATGGCAAGTTTGAGGCCAGCGTCACCAACTTAGCAAAGCCCTCGATAACTTAGCAAGACTTTGTCTCAATTTTTTTTTAAGGGCCAAAGATGTGGCTCAGTGATTAAATATATATGAATTTTCCATCTGAGTCATAAATAATGTCACTGAATACCGGGCTGTTTTGGTCATGATTGTGTAGGAACCTCAGGATGATCTGATGTCATTTGGTGTCAGGAATGTAGTGTGGCTACTGTTGGGAGAGATGCTATAAGCTCGTGAGGGTCATGGGGACGTCAGTGTTGCCATCATAAACTGCAAGCTTGGGGGTGAGAGCTCTCCCTAGGTTAGAGTAGAAGACTGATTATAGAACCACCTGGACTTGGGGAACCTGGAAGGGTCCTCTCTAGGACCTCCCGAGGGCCAGGCTGGCTGCTCAGGGTCCAAGACCTCACGCCCCAGGAGTGGCTGGGGCTTCAGGTTGTTTCCGGGAGAGGAGCACGTGCTGGGGAGGATGGTGACTTTCCCTGGGAGGTGCAGAGAGATTCAGTGGCTTCCCCAGGGCAGCACCCCATGGCTCTGGGACACATGCCCTTCCCACTCTAGATGGCTGTCACCACTGTCACTCAAGACACAGGGGGGTACCAGCTGTATCCCTCCCATCAGCCTGTGCCTTTCTGCTGCAGCAGGGGCTGTGGCTCTGCTAGGTAGGTCACAGGGAGAGGAGTGAGGGCACCTCCATCTGTAGCCTGGATGTCTGGGACACTGTCCACACACAGCACACATAGGTCCAACAGACGTCTAAGGCCAGTGTGTCCAATGAGGAGTCACAGGACTTGTTTATGTCACTCCTTGCCATCTCTGTATCTGGAATCACCTCTGGTTATCTGATTTTTTCAGCGCCTTCTCTGAACTAGTGAACCTCTTTTCCCTGTTTTCTCAGTGGGGAGCGAGGATCTGGCAAGTCCGAGGCCAGCAAGCAAATCATGCGGCACCTGACCTTCAGGTCTGACTCCAGCAGGGCTGCATTCGACGCCAGATTTAAACACGTAAGTCGCTTGCTTTGGCTTGGCGGACGCGTGAGTGAGCATGTTGAGCAAAGGATGGTGTCACTCACAAATAGGGGGGACGCTATCACGGGTAAAAGGAGGTGAAATTGGGGAAGGAAAAACAAGGGAAAGGAAAAACCTGATTAAGCCCTGGTGCGACTTAATGTTGTCCAAGTGAACATTTATTTTTAGTGCATTTAAAATATTTTGAACATATTCTTTTGTTACATTTGCTCTGAATGGTTGGACTTAGAATAAAGTCAGAGGACACTGATGCTCCTGTAGGAAGTGCCGGTTTGGAACTTCGGAGACACTGACCTGAGGATTCTCGAGCACTGATAATGAAGTCTCAAGGCATCTGAAAGTGACGCGAGGCAGTGATGAACCTAACCGCAGAGCTGATCCTGAATCAATCCAGAAGCCCGGGTGGCCTTGGGGTCCGTGGCCCTTGAGACTCACCCGCTCTGCATCTCCGAGGTACAGGAGGCCTCGAGGAAGACGCAGAGCACAGCCTGGCGTGAAGGTCAAGCTGGAGGGATCCTCACAGTGGAACTCGGAAGCTGTGCCCAGGCCCGACCGCTGTCGTCCACCCGCTGCCTCTTGCTGCTACGCGGTTCTAGGAAGTTTTGCTGCCGGGGCTTTCAGGGCACAGCAGGTGGAGGAAGCAGCTCATGGCCCCGTCGTTCTCTCAGTTTTGCAGCCATAAACCAGCACCCCCCTTTCCAGCCTCTCTCCCTCTGCACAAAGTCTCATGTCCCACCGTCCTGGCTCCCTTGCCCATCCAGCGTCCCTCAGGTCATTGCAGGTTGATGCCATTGTCTCTCAATGGATGGCCTCAGGGCCCTTCCTCGTGCTTCCTGTCTTCCTGGTTCTTGATGATCTTCTGGCATGTCCAAGGAGCCACTCTTGGTGGGCAGGACAGCTGTGCTTGCCAGACTCAGACAGGGCCCAGGCCCTGTCCCTCAGCTAGGAGGAAGGGACAAGAGGGCACTGGTCCAGGGAGAAGGCCCACGTGAGGAGGTGAGCCCCGCCTGCTCAGGTGCAGGCTGGACTTGGCAGGACTGCTGTGCTGTGGGGCGGGGGGGAGCCCCTGGCCACTCACACTGTCTATGGCAAGAGGAGGGCAGCTGGACTGTGAGCTGCAGTCGTGTGACTTCTCAAAACGCCAGAGTGATTCTGTTGCCTGTGCACAAAGCTCCCTAAGCAGGCACGGCCCAGCCTTCTCCCCGACAGCTGTGAGTTCTCCTCCAGCCTGGGGTGTGACTCTCCTGTCCTCAGCCTACACGGAGCCACTCTGAACCCAGTGGAACTCACCCAGTCTCTCGCTGGCTCATCCAGCCAGTACCTGTTAGCTTCCAGGTGAATTTGGCAAGGCTGTCTTTCCCTGCCACGGGGCAGGGCTGGGTCAGGTGGTGAGTGAGAGAACGTGAGAAATACACAGGGGAAAACACTTTGGCCTAGACAAGGGGCGGTAGAGAGGACTGATGGCAGGAGACCATGGCATGTTTATGTCAAAACCGTGCTCTCTTCCTCCTGCGCCCCCCAGGGAGAGATGTTGCTAGAAATAAATCAGCGGGCTCCGTGTGACGTTACTTTAGATCCTTCCCCCAAACACGGCCGTCCGTCTGAGAGCGAAGTTAAAGTTCTGAGCCACTGGGCTGCGAATGTCGAGCTGTGTGCTTGCATGTCACCTGCCTGTGCTGCTGGCACTTCAGGGCGGTTATTTCCACTGTGGAGACGTTTGCTCAGGAATGTCCAAAAATGCACAGTATCCGATTCCTCGTCGAGAAGTGAGAGAAACTTTTGTTCAATACATGGATTAGTATTACATATGGTACTTTTAATTCTAAGTCTTAACCTTTTAAAGCTACTCTAATGCATTCCTGAGCTCAGCCTGAGTCTGGAGATCCAATTCTCATGAAGAATGCATATCCAATGAGTCCTGCAGCTTACTTATCTACTCTCACGTGTGCTCATAAATGACTTCAATTTAGCAGAGCGTGGTGGTACAAGAGGCTGAGGCAGGAGGATTGCCAAGTTCAAAGCCAACCTCAGCAACTCAGGCTAGGCATGTGGCTCAGTGGTTAAATACCCTTGGGTTCAATCCTTGGTACCAAAAAAAAAAAAAAAAAACCCACAAACTTTATGACCATTTATTGAGCTTGTACCATATTGAGAGTCACATCATTCTGTAACACAGTTCAAAATTAATGTCTGCAGTCAACTTGGGAAGAAGAGCGTAGCCTGTTTCCTTTGTTCAGATATGTTCACATGTTAATATGTTGATTACCAATACCGAAATGTCAGAGCATGAATAAGCAGCATGGTTATGACATGAGCTCAGTTAACTAATGGAAGCAACACAGCTGACTTAATAGGAATGACAGGGAAGAGTAGTTTCCCCTCTAACTTAGAGACTCAATGTTCATTAAGACGACAGTGTGAGGGTGCAGGCTGAGAAAGTTCTGGACTTGCCCTCTGGATGCCTAGTGTACAGGGGCTTTGCTGCCAGCTCAAGGGAAGACACCTGAGCTGCTCTCCCCAGGCAGAGGTGGACATGACTCTTCCAAACCAGCATCTGGGAGCCAGGGCCATAATGTCAGCAAATTCCAAGTGAAACTGCCTCTAATTCCCTTGTTCATTTTATTCATTCCTCATGACCCATGAAAGATGCCACAGTAAATGATTTATAATCTCATGGAAAACCATCGTGTTTGGGCAGTTACACTCTGTATATCAACCATGGTTTGTTGATACAGAGTTTGTTTCCCTTTAAATTCCCAACCACATGAATGTCATTCGGTAGTGGAGAGGTTCATGAAAATCAACCAGCCAGTTTTTATGAAGCATCCGAGGATGTGTCCAGGGATCAAATGCAAGTGTGGAATAGATCTATGAACATACTGAAAATCTTTGGGATTACAAGGGTTCGGTGAAATTAAGTACATTGGAGAGGTGGCAGTGCTTCCTCCGTGGAAGAAAAATCTGATTAATGAAACGAATAGAAGGAGCTCCCTTGCCACATGGTGATGTCTCCCAGGCAGTTGAAATCCAGGTCACGCTCAGTCGAGGAGCCTTCCTTAGGTGAGCCCAAGAGGAGGAGGACGGAGCCAGCAGCAGCCTGGGCCCTCCTGTGGGTGTGCGCAGAGCTGCCCAGGATCGGGTGGGGCTGCCCTCAGCACACAGGACACCTCCTTCAGGATGGCCGTGCAAGGAGAGGAGGCAGCGTGGCCCTGGGTCTCAGAAAGGCACGAGAGGAAGCAGCACTGGGTTATTTTGAGCTGCAGTTGGCAGAGAAAATGAAGCAAAAAATGGTAGAGAGAAGCCTGGACAGAAACTTCTTCCGTGGCCCCTGAGAGCCCACACAGGAGGGGAGTCTCTGGGGAGTGCAGGGGCAGAAGGCCAAAAGGGAGGGGTTGGGAGCAAGCTGGACAGTGTGCCCTGGACAGTGCCACAGTCACAGCCCAACATCATGAGAGGGGAGGAGGTGGGGGTGACTGGAAGGTGAGGGAGGGGCTGGCGTTGAGGTCTGGAAATGAGATTGGAAATCATTTTCAGGTCACCTGTTAGGTTTTAAGGACCACATGGCTGTTTCTGAATTCCAGGCTTAGACTTCAGGTGCCACCTGTCAGAAGCCGAGGTGGGTTAGGTTCTGCCTTCGCAGCGCAGCAGGCTCCCTCTGTGTCCTCTGGTGCAGGGTGGGAACCTGAGGCTACACGCATTGGTCTTGTCCCCTGTGCAGTTTCAGATCTGCTCAGATCCGCTGAGCAGGGTGCAGATTCCTGGCCCCCGTGTGTGTTCTCAAGCATCAGAGCAGGGGATTTTCCATGCCATTAGAATGATTGGAACAGCAAAGTCATGTTTTGGAAAGAAACTGCCTGGAACTTCTCACCAATTTCAGCTCAAATGAATTTAAACTGTAAAAAAACAAAAAAACAAAAAACAAAAAACTTCAATTCCACTCAAATCGCTTTGAAAAGCATTTATTGAGCAATTCAGAGTGTGGCGACTGGCTCGTTGGAGGCATCGCTTTTTATTAAGGAGGCCATGGATTTTTACTTATAGAAAATAAAATAAGCTGCTGCCACAGGAGGGTAGACTCTTACAATGGAGTGTTGGAGTGGGTACCATGGAATGCAGCAGGGAAAGCCAGGCGGATGAAATTTGAATCTTTAAATATGGGGATCCGTACGTTGACTCCTTCACTTATGTTTTCGTTTCAGATGCTGTGACTGTGGGGCATTCTCATTATTGTGTTTAAAAGTCAAAGGCGAGCAGTGGTACAGTGCCCGTTCTGTTTTCTTAGTCTCTTCAGGTATTTATTTAGTGCCACCTATTGGCCAAGGGGCTAATTGAATATGAAAACCACTGGCTTCTTCAGAGCTTATTAGTGTTTAAATCTTGAGCTACAGGACAACAGGGGACAATGGATGAGCACTGCATGAGTGGTCACGGTTGCTACCTGACACCAGTGACCTTGGCTCATGTGTGGCATGTCTCCTGTGTCACTGCAGCAGTGGCCGCCCTGTGCTGTGTGGCTAGGTGGGCCATCCTAGGAGGTGACCCGGGGGTGACCAGTGCAGCACTCAGCTCTGAGACTGGAGAAGGGTACTAATCTGTGTCCCTGTTTGTGCATGGAAGGCCCAGGCTGTGAGGATGGGGGGCATTTTGTGTGCATACACACCTCACTTTGGAGCACAGCCACGTGGTAAGCACAGAGGAACCCTGGCTGCAGTGGTTTAAACCAGTAACAGAACAAAATTATTGTTTGCCGAACGTTTACTGGGTGTCAGATGCCATGAAGCTGAGGGTGTCACACGGGACACCACAGCCACGGGAGGGGGGAGTTACTCGTGTGTCAGAGAAGGGAGGGTGCATGGGAATGAAGGGACTTGCCCAAGGGCACATGACTGTCACTGCCTGAGCCCATCCCAAAGCACTTCTGTTTACCCATCCTGTTGGGCACAAGTGTAATGAGCTACAATGCTCTTTCATAGAAAGATACAAACGTCACTTTATTATTGGATACCAAATCAAAATAACCAAGAACCAAAATGATTTCAAAGTCTCATCCTATTTTTGTGACTTTTGTGTAATCAATATCATAATTCAATTTTGTGTAATCAATATCATCCATTTGCCATTATTAATTTCACTATATATATCTTATATATTTTAACATTTGGCTTTTTTAAAATAAAAAAAGTAAAAATCAAGAGACTGATATGTACAAATTCAACTTTTTTTGGACAACATTTCTATCGCTTGCTCTCAAGTTACTTCTGATGGTCTTTGAAATACGGTTATTCTGTGTACACCCAAGCATAGAGTTTTTTAAGGATTTAATATGCTGAACTCCAAAACTACAAACGTCACAAGCAGATGGCTTCACAGACCTCATTCACCATTATCACAACTTTGGGCACTTTTATGGTTAGCATGGAAGTGTGTTTTATGATCTTTGGAAATGTAGTATACTTCTGGGAGAAATAAATGCCTTAGTACAGCAGATGTTAGGAAATTAAAAAAGTAAATTCAAAGAATTTTTTAAATTTTCATAGTAAAGTTCTTTAAATGTACCGTCACCAGAAATGACAGGGGACAAACGAGCGGCCTGTGTAGCAATGGGTGTGGTGGTGCTTCCTCTTGTGGCGGGCTGGGGAACTGCGCCTACCCGGCTCCTGTCTTGAGGAAGATGCTCTTGAAGGCTTTCAGATGGTCACTTTCGGGAGAAGGCTTGGCACCATGGCCATCACAGGTGCTGTAAGAAACAGCCTCGCCCGGATGGATGCTGTGTTCCTGGTTCTGTGGGAGAAAGCTGTTGGAAGGGGGCAAAACTGCAGTCAGGGGAGGCTTACGTGGGGTCTCTGGTTGAACAAGTGTGTGGACAGTAAAGAAATCTGTGCCAGTGTTCGCATAAGTTTATTGTTAAAAATAAGGCCCAACTAGGGCTTGTCTCAGTTCTCATGCCTCCCCTCCAAGTCCTCAAATGCTATTTTGGTCAAGTTTGAATTTTTGAATAACCTTTAAGTGTGGGTGTGTGAGTGATTTTTCTCCCGACAGGTATGAATGTACCATCCATGTGTCATTTTATTAACAGTGGCCACAAATTTGAGGCATCACATACTAATAATTTGCATTTGAGGAACAAGTAGCCTTAAAATGTCAGCCTGGTGTTGGAAGTGTGGTGCCTGTGAGATGAGGGAACACTCCTGCCCCTTTGCCGACTTAGCTCCCCTGTTTCATTTTTAGATTCTGAATATATGGGTGACATTCTCCCTCCCGCTGCAGGTCACATGCATCTTGGAAGCCTTTGGACATGCCAGGACAACACTCAATGATCTGTCCAGTTGCTTCATCAAGTACTCTGAGCTGCAGTTCTGTGAAAGGAAGAAGCACATGACTGGAGGTGAGTGGACACGGGAAGGCAGAGCCTGTGGGACCTTGGAGATCCATGGTCACCTTTCTGTCACAATCTTTTTTATTTTCCATACTTGGATTGAACCCAGGGGTGCTTTATCCCTGAGCCATACCCCGAGTCCTTTTTACTTTTTATTTTATGACAGGGTCCTGCTGAGTTGCCCAGGCTGGCCTTAAACTTGGAATCCTCCAGCCTCAGCCTCCCCAGTTGCTGGGATCATAGGCATGTGCCACTGTGCCTGGCTACTTTCTGTCACATTCTAAGTAGGTACCCAGTGGAGGGAAGCTGTCCATAAAGCATCCCAGAGAGGAGAGCATCTGTATCTCATCGCAGATGTGTTGAAAACCTCCTGCCAACCCTGCAAAGCTTCATTGCTTTAGAAGTAGGTGGAGACTCAGGCACATGCAGCCGGGGGAGCCTGTGAGCCTGAGATATCCTCATGTGCAGGGTCAGCCTTTTCAAGCCTGTAATGTAAAAACTATACAATGTGGAACCAAACTAAAGATAACTGACTCATACTTGCTGCATGTAGAAGGGAACTCAGATACTTACATAAATCACAATTTTATAAGATTTCTTTAACACATAGTGAACTCCATTTTGAATAAAACCAAATCTGAATTTTTAGAAAGGCTGAATTAAACAAATCCAAACATTAAAATAATCACCCAACAAAACTTAACACAGAACCAGTCTCTTGGTTGGTTTCAATAATTATGTGTATTTTATGAAAAATTCTCATTTAAACTTCAATTAATTTGCCAGGAGTGGTGGTGCATTCTGCAATCCCAACAGTAGAGGGACTCAGGCAGGAGGATCACAAGTTCGAGGCCAACCTGAGTGACTTAGCGAGACCCTGTCTTAAAATAAAAATAAAGGGCTGGGGATGTGGCTGGATGAGAGAGTGCCCTGGGTTTAACCTCCAGTGCTGGAAAGAGATTTTTTTCAACTAACTTAGACTCTAATTGGAATCTTACCTCCTTCCAATCATGCAAATTAATACAAATACATTCGTTGGTGGAATGCCTAATCTTGGAGGGACTTTATAACATCTGCGAGGACGCAAATATTCACTAATTATAAATGATTTTTTAAAGAGCTCAGATGCATTTAGCTTTTTCAAGATACCTGTTTTAGTCAGCTTTTCAACTGCTGTGACTAAAAGATCTGACCAGAACAATTTTAGGGGAAGAAAGTTTACTTGGGGGCTCACAGTTTCAGAGGTCTCAATCCACAGACAGTAGGCTCCATTCCCCGGGGCTCAAGGTGAGCAGAGCATCATGGTGGAGGGAAGTGGCAGAGGGAAGCCAGTCCCATCAGGAAGCAGAAAAAGATAGAGATTCCACTTGGCAGATACAAATAGAGACCCCAAAGCCACGCCCCCAATGCCACCTCCTCTAGCCACGTCCCACCTGCCTTGATTACCACTCAATCCCATCAGGTCATTAACTCACTGATTGGGTGAAGCTTCTCACAACCCAATTGTTTCTTCTCTGAACCTCTTGCATTGTCTCACGCATGAGTTTTGGGGGACACCTCACGTCCAATCCATATGTCCTCCTCCATCCCCTACCAGAAAGGTTCGTCTTGACTGTAATCTAAAGAAACACCTGGTGGAAGCAAGTGAAGGTAAAGATCAAATTTCTGCTCAGTGAAATCTGGTAAATGATGTGCACACAAGAGAAAGAAGAGGACTTTTCTTTTGGAATGTGAAGCCAGAGGCAGAGGCTTCCATTTCTCAGCAGGAGAGCTGTTATGCCCTGGGTCTGCAGCACCGGGTCCCAAGGCCACCTGCCTGCAGACCTGGCCCTCCACGGACAGGACAGGCCTGCCTTCTACTTACGACCAGTTTCCTCTCTGAGATTTGAGGTAGGTGTGGCCATGCTGGCTCAGTGGGCAGAAGACCCCAAGGACAGCAGGCTCCAGAGTGAAGGGTCCGCCCCTTGCCACACAGGCTGTGGCCCCAGGACCAGCGCTGTTGGCAGTTGGTTGGAAATGCAGAGTCTCAGGCCCTCTTGTGCCTGCCTATCACATGTGGTCACCAAGGCCCTTGGGGTCCTGCTGAGTGGTGAAGGTGGAGAGCGCCCTGCCCACGCAGCCCTGACCAACGCAGGCCTCCTGCCCACACCTTGGCCAGGCAAGGAGCGCATCTGGGCATCAAGAGAGTTGCTCAACCCAGTGCTCTTTACCCAGGGGTGACAGCCACTGGCTTCTGAGAGTGGGGGCCATGACTCATTTGGCCCTTTTGGTCTCCAGGAGGACTCTTCCTTGTCTCCTCTCGGTCTCACACTTGCCACCCATCTTTCTGTTCCTCAGCTGCGGCTGCCAGGCACGGGTCTCTGCCTCTGTGGACACATGGCCTTCACCCTGGCTCTCCTTAAAGTACACCAGTCACATTGGTTCGGACCCAGCCTGCAGTGGCCTGTTCCCAAATAAGGTCCCAGTAGCGGGGCTGGGCTCTTTGGTGTGCCCTTAGGTAGGACACAGTTCAGCCTGCAGCCAAGCCTGGGGGAAGAATTTTACTCTTCCAAAGTATCTTTGGTTTAAGGGAGAATACTGTCACTGCTCAGAAAAATAAGTATTGGCCACTTTAAGAAGCTGCGTGTGTGATGCTTTTAAACTATTTAATATAAAGACCCTCTTTTAAAACAGCTGAGGCTCAGCCATTCTGATTGATCTCCCATTCAGGTCTTGTGAGTTTTAAATGCTCAGTACAACAGGTCTCCAGACTGCGGCAAGGCCACGGCTCAGAGGCCACGTGCACGAGGCCCAGGTTGAAGGGCAGACTCTGCTTCCTCAGGGCACCCTCTCATCCACTGGGTGATCAGTTCTTGCCCGTCTACGGCCGGGGACTGATACCTTGCTGATTTTAGGGCTGGGAGATGCTGGATGTTTCCTCACCGTTGCTGTTAGTAACACTTTTATAATTTAATGCCAACACTTCCTTTGGGGCTATGACCACGCACCATGACACAGAAGATATAAAGCTCTGTTTTATGAGACATCGGCAGTAGATAAGATTCTTTCCGTTCTGGAGTAATTTAATTAATAAATAGCATTGAGTCTGGCTCTGGGCCCAGTGTGTTTATCCTTCCGATTCTGTGTTTGACAAAGCAGCTGCTCCCAGCTGCGCGGCCCTGGGGGGTCTGAGAAGCACTGACCTTGCTCTGCCCACAGCCAGGTCGGTAGAAGGCAGCCGAGGACCTTAAGGAGAACTTTGCCAAAAAGTTCCCCCAGCCCTGGGGCCCCTCCCTTGAGACTTGGGCCACTGTTCTTATCCTTCACGGTTTGTGATTTTCGTTCAAGAGCGCAGAGGTCCCCGTGGTGTGACGAGGGGACATGGTGAAGCCTGTGCGGGGATGTGGTGGACTCCACGTCCCCCATTCTCCTCCCAGGACCAGAGTATCCATGCGGCTGGGCTTCCTTTAGGGAGCACAGTGGGGTTGCCTTCACGAGAGAGGAGCCTCTTCCAGTCTTGGGGAGAAGCCTCTTCCAGGTGCAGCGGAGGCACACCCCCGGCCACCTGCTCCTCCGAGTCACCAGCTTCTTGATGCTCAGCAAGTGTCCAAGGTCCATACTCCCAGTGGCTCTTGGCTGTTTCAGCCTAGCCGCTCCTGTCCCTGCTGTCCCCAGTGTCCACAACCTAGATTGCAGGAGTCCAGTTTGAGGGGTGTTCCTGTGAGACAGCTGGGCCATGGGATCGGCTTTGGCACCACCTAGGCTCCATTACTGGTTGTGGGGCCCGTGCCGGTCCCTCCTTCTCTCTCATCCATGCAGCTGGACTGAGCTCGCCTCTTCCCCTGGGCGGGGTCCAGCTGCTCGGAGTAGCCACCTTTGACGGCCACCGTCTCTCCGCCTTCCTGTAAGAGCTGTGGTGGTCTGGCTCGACTGCCTCCCAGGGGGACACACCCCGGCAGAGGAAGCAACTGCCAGGCGACCAACAGGGCATCATCGCCCTAGCGCCGTGTGGCCCCTGCCCCTGGAGTCCCAAGTCTCAGTCCACAATGGACTTTCAAAGCAGAATCCTCTGTTCCTCCATCACACACCTGAGATGCCCACCAGATGGTTTTCAAACAACAATGGGATTTCTCCTCCTGGATGTTCCTTAATGAAGAGAAGGCTGTGCACCAAGCCACCAAGCACGGAAGGAGGGCCTTCAGAGGGTGTCCTGCAGGGCACCTGGGGGCAGGGGTGGCTTCTTGTGCCTTTCCTGCTAGTCCCTATACAGCCTCCTAGGGAAGGGCAGTGGAGACTGGGAGGCCACCGGTGAGACTCTCACCGTCCAGAGTGTGTGCGGTGCCAGATCCAGGCCCCACCTGCACTCAGGGAGGTCCAGAGGGGAGGTTTGCAGGAGCCAGCGGGTCCCCACCTTGCTGGGGGAGCTGGAGAGCACAGTCCTGGAGCAGCCTGGCGTGGCCCTGGCTCTGCCTCTAGCTCGGCAGCCTCTGGCAGTTGCTTGACTTCCTCTGGAGCAGGGTCATCACCCCGAAACCTCACAGTTCCCATGAAAAGCCAATGTGTTAAGTGGTCTCCAGTCCATTTTGTCCAGGTGTCCCAGACAGCATGTCAGTTCAATGTCCTCTTCATAGGACAGCTTTAAAAGCTAAAATGGTATCTCCCCAGTGTTCTATTTATTAGGACTGCCTAGTTCCGTTCGTAGTGATCATAAAGGACATCTAAGTTCTGGGTCATGATTTCCAAACTATTTTAGTGCAGCTGGGACAATTTCATGGACATATTTGCAGAATTGAAAACCTGGGACTGAATAGGTTAAATCACCCCCTTTTTCTTTCCCCTTCGCCTTCAAGTCAAATCTTAACATTCTCTCCAGAAAAGTGCTGGAGTTAGCTACAAGAGGAGAGCGAGGGACCCAGTTTGGCTTTTTTGTGTTTTCTCTTTGGCTGTTTGTGTTTTCTGTGTCTGAAGACCCCAAATCTATTTAACTTGAAACTGAATTTGCTTAACGGCAGGAAATGCCTTCCGATAGATAGGCTGAGCCATGCTACCTACTGGGGAAACTTAAACCTTCAGAGTTAGCACAAATGATATGGGAAATAAATAAGTGCCTTTGCCTTGCACATTTTTCAGATCCTGATTTTGAAGAAACAAAGCAGAGATGTGAGCAATGAATACCCATTCTCACTATTATCATCAATCACCCTTACACTCCATACTTCATTTGAGGCCCTCCGGAAGTTTCAGAGTGCTTTAATTGATCTTATCTCACATGAAGAGCAGCATCCTTTATTGCAATCAGCCTGGGCTTTGGGACAAGCCACTAGGTTGAAAGATGAAAGGCACATGGCAGGACTGCAGGTCACCTGGCTCACTCAGGGCCTGGCATACAGTAGGTGCTTGGAATGGTAGGTCCTTCCTCATGAAGTCCAGAGGGGTCCTGAGACATTTCTATGTTTTCTTCCCTATATTGTGGGTGGGCAAAATGGCATTAAAGTGGTGTGGAGATTGGCAGTGTCTCATTTTGGGAGAGAATGGGTAGGTTTCATTCTCAGGAGAGGCCCCCCCCCACTCTCCCACCTCACCTCAGTCTGAGTGACCAGGAGTCACGGGCAAGGACATGTGTGCAGGTGTGAAAGAGAGAGCATGGCTCTCTGCAGTGACAGGCACTTCTGGTGGCTGCCGGGGAAGAGGGCACAGTGGGCTTCCTGAGAGCCTCCCCTGCCCTGTGTCTCAGCAGCTTGATGGGTCGGCTGAGAGAGTCGGAAGCTGCTGGAAGTCGGAGGGGAGAATGAGGAGGCAGGGAAAAGCTAGCCAATGTAACCCCTTTGCTCTCGCGATGAACGGCAACGGGCAGAGCTTCGCAGAACGTCTATTGCGATAAACTGCGTCACGTCTGCTCTGCAGACATGTGTTTTCATGGTACCTAAACATTTTGAGAAACACTTTCATGTACAGACACACATGAAGATTGCATGCATATCCCTAGTCATGACTATTTCTGACATAAGAGAGCTTTGGAAACATGCAAGTCCTGAGAAATCAGGACATCTGATAGTGGGAGGCTCTCCACTGCGTGAACCCTCACATGAGGGGTCCTCTTGAACTTGGAAATGCACCACCTTCCTCATCTTATCTTGTATCATTTCAGACACAGCAGAAAGGGTGCCTCATCTCTGCTTGGGAAAATAGCAGTCTCATGACCACTGGGATAGGGGGCTGTTTTTTTGAATTTGCTCCCATCTAAAATCTCCTTCAAGACTTTTTTATTTTTTTAAATTTGAAACCCTACTGATTTGAATCCTGCTACTCCTCAGCAATTTTATTCACTGCTGGAGATGAGCTAACGAGGATGATTAATAATCATGCTGCTTTTGAATCTAGATGGAAGGTACTGAAGGCGCTCCACGGCACACGACGTGGATTCTGCTCAGTAGTGAGCTCTGCTTTCAGCGGAGTTGGAACAAGTCTGCATATAAGTCAGCCCTGTCTCCAGGTCCTCACCCACAGGCCCTCCTCGTACTTCCTTCTGGATCATGGCCAAGGGACAAAACAACAGTGTATTTCACACTAGTGTGGATTTTAAAAATTCCCCTGTGCAGTAAATCATTTCAAGATGAATATTCTTAAAATTAAACAGAAAATGTTTCCAGCCAAACATTTATTTATGAAGAACAAATGAAGAGGAACAAAAAATCTTAAAATTATGACCTCAACTTGAGATTACTGCCCAATTCCTTCACTATGGAGACAGGTGCCCTTGGTGGGGGTCCTGGGGGATGCCCAGGCCCTGCGCCCATCCTTGTGTCTTTCTCTGATGCCGTGGAGCATGCAGCACAGAGTGAGCTGCAGTGTGACCCGGGGCCTTAGTTAACAAGAAGGTCTCAACTCTGTCCTGGGTTTGAACCCACAGATGCTGATAGAGAAAATAGCGGGTTGTGGGTGGGAAGGGGGCTACTGGAACTCTCAGTGCCTTCAGCTCAGCACTTCTGTTAAGCCTAAGCCTGCTTCTAGAAGACAGCCTGTTAAATTACAAACACGACTGTTGGAAAAGAAACTGCATTTTTATCTCTTGTAATGAATTAGGGAAATTTGTGGAAGCGAAGCTGTCAGTGCCATCTGACAGAATCCCCTTTCTTTCCTTCACCAGCCAGAATCCATACCTACATGCTGGAGAAGTCCAGACTGGTTTCCCAGCCTCTGGGCCAGAGAAACTTCCTCATCTTCTACCTGCTGATGGACGGGCTGTCCTCGGAGGAGAAGTACGGACTGCACCTGGACCGCGGCTGTGCCCACCGGTGAGTGGCTTCTGGGAGTAGACTTTGGCAGGCTTAAACTGCCTTCTTATGAGGAGCAACTGTGGCTACCAGAGAATGGCCAGCTACCGTCAGGCGAGAACCTATCCCTATCACAGGGCAAAACTGTTTATTGAATGCTTAGGTGAAGGTCTCTGTGTGTGTAAGAAATCGCATTTCTGTTTTGCTGCTTTTCTGGTCAGAATACCAAAATACAAGTTTGTGTGTAAACATCTCTATTCCTTCTGAGTATTTTGGTATCATATCATATCAGTTTTGAAGTCCTGATTTTCGGTCGTCCTTTGGAACAATGGGAGCTGTCATTTAAATAGTAAGTTTTCATTAATGACAGATGAGGTTCCGTCATGGGAACAGCAAAAGTGCCTGTGAACCAAGGCGCTGGTTTTCTTTACTGGAGGCAACAAGTTGTGTAAAAGGTGTGTTAAAGGGGGACTCTGGTCATGGGGGTGACACGTGAGTGGCCCCCACCACAGTGACATTCTTCTCAGGCACACCTTTCTGCTGCTGATGTGAGTCCCCACAGGCACTGATCAGATCTGAACTAGGATGAGAATTAGAAGCAGGAGGGGAGTAGACCCCACCCCGCTGAGAGGCTGGTGGGAGGAGGAGCAGGAGGATTTCACCTGGTTCCAGTGGCCGGGATGGGGACTGGACTCAGTGACACGTCCGGCTGTGGCTGGTAGCACCCATCTTGTAGTTCACAGCATGCTTGCGTTGGATCTAGAAGGATGGTATGAGTTTGCATAACTGTAAGAAAAAAATTGTAGTAAAAAAGGTGCTAAAGGAAAGCAACATGCCCGCACGTGCACACACACGTGTGCCCGCATGTGCACGTGCACACATACACGGTAGCTGCTTCACCAGCCTGCTTACAGTTAACACTAAGGCCAAAGTGATGGTGGAGAGGGCAGAGGCTCGGGCCTTAGCGACAGGTCACCCTGTTTCTCGCAGGCTTGCTCCAGTTCTGCAGAGGAAAGTCCAGTTGCTCCCTACGATGCTGCGTTGATCTGTTCGTCTTTATCCGTGATGCTCCAGTGGGGGAGCATGGGGAAAATGTGGCTGTGGTCCAGGGCTGGGAGAGAAGTGATGGGAGGTGCTGTTCCACATGGGCTGATTGGGGAGGGCTCCTTCAGGTGGCGTGAGGGGTAGCACCTGAGGAGCCTGGCAAAGGTCTGGTGGGAGTGTTCCCTTCAGAGAGATAATGAACAGGGCTCAGAGGGGACAGATGTGCACGTGAGGAAGCGTGAGGCCAGCAGGTGTGACCACAGTCACACAGGTGAGGGAGAATGTTGGAGCCCAGGGGAAGGATGGGGTTTGTTCCAAATGCCTCTGCAAGTGGAGGGGGCTCTGGGTATGAACTGGTTTTCATCGCAAAGGCAGCTCTTCTCCATGGAGACGTCACTGTAGTGGTCACAGCTGGGAGCAGGGAACCCAGTGCCCATGGGGTTGTTGGGAAGTGGTACTGATGGGGTGGTATGTGGAGGTGGAAAGAAATGGTGAGGTCCAGATTGTGTTCTGAAGGTAGGAAGGTCAGGATTTGGGATGGACTGAAAGTTGGACTCGAGGAAAACAGTTTCAGAATGAATGGTTCCTGTGACCGCAGCCCGAGCAGCACGGGGCGTCATTCACAGGGTTGGTGTCTTGGTCTGTGTTTTTGTGACCTTAATGAAGTACTTGAGACAGGCTAACTGTATAAAGAAAAGATGTTTATTTGGCTAGTGGTCTTGGATGCTGACAGTCCACACGATGTTGCACAGGCCCTGGTGAGGGCTGCCCCTGGCTGTGTCACCTCATGGCAGATGGCCATGGAAAAGCTTGTGTGGGAGCAAGAGATCACCTCCCAAGGAAGAGGCCAGCACGGAGTGGAACCAGGCTTCCCCCTTATGACTGTCCTCCAAGAACGAGCTCAAGTCCCAGAGAGCTGCCTAAGTCCTCCCAGGGCACACCCCAGGGACCTGAGGACCCCCGCTGGGCCCCACTTCCAACACCAGCCCCTGACAACCAGGCTCCTAGCAGTAAACTCTTGGGGGACAAAGCCAACCCGTATTCCAACCACCCAGAGACCATTTAGGAGGAGGGCACTGCTCCAAGGACCAGCTGTGCTGCATCTGAGAGGTGGTAGAGCCCCCGGGGCAGTGAGCAGGGATCCACCTGGGAGCCGGGGAGGGTCTTCCCAGTGTGATGGGGTAATTCAGGCTGAACCTCAAGGACTGGTTGGGGCAGCCACAGGTTGTTGTCTGACCGTAACTGAGGTGTCCATGACTGTGAGCATGGGGGCGGGGGAGAAGAAATTGGCCGTAGACTAATGTCCTGTTGCATTCCTGGTCACCGTCATGAAATCCCATGAAAGGTCACATCCAGGTCTATAGACATGATTTATCCTGTTGGTGGCAAAAACATGATTTATCCTGTTGGTGGCAAAAACGTTGTCAAGAAGTTAAAAAGGCCCTGTCAGAATTATATTTTACTTACAGAAAAAGACTATTTGGGGTTATCTGGCCTCAACCTACAACAGAAACTTAGGCAAAGAAGAAAGCAGTAATACGGAAGTGTGGCAGCCCAGGCAGAAGTAATAGAGATGTGGAAACCCAGCTCCCAGGCCGTCAGAAATCCCATCGGTCAGATCCTCTCACTTTGCAGAGGAGAGAGTCAAGGGGTGAGAAGAAGCTCGTGCTGACAGGGATCTGCTGCTCAGCAGCGGTTCTGACAAGCCCACTGCCTGAAATTAGCTTCTCACTTTTCCACCCTGGGCCTCCCTAACTGGACATGCCCTGGGAGGAGGAGCACTGCATGGAAAGCCCCGGGGCTGCGTGTCCAGGGTGGCCTGGAGGAGGGAAAGTGGTGGGGATTTCTGTCCCCAGCTGTTCCAACAAGCAGAAGCCCAAGCTCACAGCACTCAGCTGGTGGAGAGGTCATGTCCGTGTCTGTGCATGTCTGTGCACATGTGGGCCTGGTGTGCAGACTTGTGAATGGTCCAGTGCTCCTGCATAGAGCAGGTGTTTGACTAACATGCACTGTGAACACCTCGTGGAGCAAAACTGCACTTTCCTCTTAAGATTCCAGATACATGAAGAGATCAGTTGGAGCATTTCCAAAGTGATCATTGCACAGAAAACTGTATTATTTAGCAATAAAACAAGCTTTTTTTGCAAGTCATAAAACATCATCCATACAGTGCTTTGTGATTCTTGTGGGTCTTCTTATGTTTATAACAGCGGATCGTCCGTCTCACTTTTACAGTGTTGGTGAGGTTTGAGGTTCATATTGCTTTGATATTTGACTTTAGCATGGGGTCAAACCTTGGGTTAGTGGTCACGAATGTTGAGTACTGTGATTCTGGAAATTGACTTGTTTACCATCCGCACTATAGATCTGAATTTTCTGGCATTCTACTCTTTCTCAAAACTCTACCTTTCTAGCCTTTCCTTCTGAGTCTGCTGCTTAAAACCGATACCCCACGGGAAAGGAGATCCCTGTGGGTAAGGTGCTTAATACCGTGCTAGCCACGGGTGAGAGGGCCTGGGCACCTAGGAGGCACAGGAACTTGCTGAACACACCTGTTATCAGGAGAGCTCTCGCCATCAGCAGCACACCCACTTGCCTGATTTTCTCAACCACACGCTCACCCTTTGTATTAACTAGAGCTAGAGTGGGGCAGGCCATCCATTACCACCCACCCGTCTCTCCCCTCTTCACGCACTCCACCACGCAGCCTGGTCTTAAAGGAACTTGAAGAAACATGACTTTGCCAGCTGGCTTCCTTCTAACGTATCCTGTTTCTTTCTTTCCTAACAACACATTCCTTTGATGAATCAAGGTAAAATACATGTTTAACAGGAGCTGAGTCAAGGGCACACTCAACACTTATTTTCTGCTTCGTGATCGTAAATCCAGAAAAAAAAAAACTATCACTATTATTTTACAATTAATGCTACAAATGTGCCTTTTTAACCTTGACCTGGTGTTTAGAATGAAAAGTTCTCAAACTATCACATAAAAACGTAGGTTTATGTCAGCATTAAATTGGGCCTAAAAATATTTCCCTTTTTGCATGATGGGGATGATCCCTGAAGAACAGAGGGACCCTTATCCCACTTCAGGATGAGGATGACTCTGAAGTGGCCATTGGCCCCACAGCTTGCCGCGTGAAACAGTGTTCACGCCACTGTGTATAAGCATCCTCCTCCAGACTATTAACGAGGGGGAAATCTCTAGTTCTCTGGTATTTTGAGGGGAGGAGGTACTGGGGATTGAACTCAGGAGCACTTGACACGGAGCCACATCCCCAGCCCGATTTTGTATCTCGTTTAGAGACAGGATCTCACTGAGTTGCTTAGCCCCTTGCTTTTGCTGAGGCTGGCTTTGAGCTCATGATCCTCCTGCCTCAGCCTCCCGAGCCACCAGGATTACAGGTGTGCACCATTGCACCTCACTTACAGGTGTACACCACTGCGCCCCACTTCTCCAATATTTTAAGCTGCTGGGATAAGGCTGTGTGTGGAGTTCCCACAAGATGGCAGGCTCTCCACTGTCAGTTGGAAGCCAACCAGAGCCAACCACAAACCCCCAGCCGAGACCCACCTGGAAACCAGTGCAGCTCCCTGAACATTTCTCCTCCTGTGTATGATTCTTCACTCTCTTTTCCTAGCTGTTTGTTTTTCAAGTACTATTTCAATTTGTTCTGTTTGTGCATAATAATGACGTCTAGGAGATAAATGTAATTTACGATCCTGGATATTGAGATTTAATGAAAATGGCTTATAATAGCTTATCTTCAACTGCCTTTAGGCAGCTGTTGTGGATTTGTGCCAGAAGAGCTGGGCACCGAGTCCAGGGTGACTTCGGGTCTCCTTCACAGGGATGGGTGGTGGGTGGGCTGGGCTGCACAGGAACCTTCTTTAGGGAGCTCAGGTCTTGAGTGGCACCCGGAAAGCCACAGTCATATGACTCAGAGCCTGTGACCTGTCCTGACCTCCTCACCT